TCAGTTTACTGCACATTGCACATACTGCACAAGTTCACTTTTTCTTTAAATTTTATTGTATTTTATTTACTACCTTTTGCACAATTTAGAATTTATACCTTTTGCACAATTTAGAATTTATTACTGTAAATATTATTTATCTTATTCTTACCTCATTTTATTTATCTATTTTTACCTTATCTTATTTTACCTTATTTTGGTTGTATTGCACCGCGGGACGGAGACAAACAAAATTTCGATTCCACTGTATGTCTGGCATATTTTGAAATTGACAATAAAGTTGACTTTGACTTTGACTTAACAGACATTCTGCATTTTTTTGGCTCTATTGTTGCCTTTGCAATTTAAAAATGCCTGATCACTCGACCAAGGATAATGCAAAATGCCCAAAAGTGACCACGAGATCTACAACAGAAGCTGCGTATGAACCTAATAGCCATATTAATCAACATGGTGGAGAACAAGAAACTTGGCTGGACCTGGCCAACTAAGTTTCAAGTATTAACGCGCTGCTTAAACAGATTCAAAAAGAGCAAAAAGGAACTTTGGCGGTCATCAGTAAATCTATCAGTGCCATAGAAGGGAAGCTGTCTGGCATGCTTGAGCCGCTAACAGAGACTGAAGCTACAGGGAACCCCCCCTGCGACCAAGACAGAAGTGGAAATACTTTGTGCCAAACTGGATGAAATGGAAGGAAGAAACATGAGGAACAATTTAAAATACGTCGGTATCCTTAACACTTGTGAGAGTCGAGATGCCTGTCTCTCTCTAGAAAATACCATTCCCGGGATGTTAAATCTGGACTTTGCATGGGGGTTGATCATAGAACAAGCTGATCACACAGGCAACCCTCAACGGCACAGAATAAACGCTGAGAGTTATAATAGCAACGATTCTGTGCTTTCAAGACGTCTAGCATATAGAGACTGCAGCTCGAGAGAAGAAGGAGATGCTCTGGAGTGGTCATACAATCAGCATATTCCCGGATTACACTAAAACAGTGGAGACCCAATGGCAGAAGTTGCGGGACTGCAAGAAAATGCGGTGCGAGCGTAGACTTTTGGGGTTTTTTCAGCCATTCTGAGAATCTATACTTGTCTGCACCTAGGTTATAGTTTGGCGTGATGGTGCTGGCCTTGTCTCACATGTCCACACATAAATTTTTCTCATATGTTTCTATCTCTTTTATTTGCTTATTTACTGTCTTACATCCTCGGTCCTCTTGGTCTCAAACCTGCTCCTTTGTTGCCTGAGTTATTATAATGAGTTATTAAGTTGCCTTATGATGTTCAGATTCTGATGTTGGTCGGGTTTTTGTTTGGGTTCTTTTACTGTTCAGGTCTTGTTGCTGTTGGTTGGGTGTCATCAATGGTTGCCTTCTTGTCGTAGTTTTTTGTTGTGGTTTGGGTATCCTGCTTTGTTATGTTTGCTTTTGCATTATGTCAGAGCACTTTGTTAACTCTTGTTTTTAAAAGTGCTATACAAAAAAGCTTATTATTATTATTATTAATATTAATATTAATATTATTAATAGTAAAATGAACAAAGAGTTCAGTCTTACTATGTCCACAGGGGTCGCCAAAAGCAATATAACCTGAAAGTTCCTCACAGGAGTGTTAAAAAGTGTTTCATCAATAGGTTCATGTGAATTTAAACCCAAATTTACATGAGCATAGCATTCATGTCAAGCATCCTTAACCATGACACACACAACTTGTGTGTATGTTCAGAAAGTTGGTTGAAGAGTCTTGCTACAGGTGGCCTGAGTTTGGAGAGGTGGTTGCTTCATCTTTTTTAAAAAGTCCCAGAAACTTTTTCTTTAAAGACTTTTTCTTCTTTTTCTGAGCCTCCTCCACCTGAACTTCAAGGTTCTCTAGTCTGTCCATAAGGCCTTCTGTTGACTTGTCTTTCTCTTCATCCTTCTCCTCAAGAAACTGCTTCAAGATGTTCACAGACTCCAGGAGACAGGCTTTCTCTTTCTGCCACTGCAGCTGATAATTTTCTATTTGCTCTTGTGCCTGGTTTAGGGATGCCTTTATCCTGAGGGTTTCCTCAACGAGCTGTGACTTGTCCTCCTCCCACTGGCAAGTCTTCTCTGCCAGGTCCTTTTGGGATCGTGTTAGTGCCTCATGCATCCTACTGGCTTCTTCATTGTGCCCAAGCAGTAGTTTACACCTTTCCTCCTCCCATTCTTGTTTCTGTCTGTCTTGGCACTCTTGGGCTTGGATCAGAGCAGTCTTCATCCTGAGAGTTTCCTCCTCATGTTCTGCCAGGAGACGGGACCGGTCCTCCTTCCACTGCTGTTTAAGGTTCTCAATGTTCTCTTGAGCCTTTTTCAGTGCGGTCGCATTTTTGCACCTTTCATCCATCTGAGCAACCCGGAATTGAAAGATTTGTTTGTCAGATGAACACTTGTAGTTCATCAGGTATTTTTGTGCCTCTTTCAGTTTCTCCTCCATCCTGCAGGTAGTCTGTTTTTGCTCTTCTCGTAGACGGGATCTTTCTTCGTCCCACTGCAGCTTCTGCTGCTTCAGGTCCTCCTGGGCCTGGACCAGAGCAGCATGTATCTTGCAGGTTGCCTGTTCTTGCTCTTTTAGTAGACGGGATCTTTCCTCGTCCCACTGCAGCTTCTGCTGCTTCAGTTCCTCCTGGGCCTGGACCAGAACAGCCTCCATCATGGAGGTTGTCTGTTCTTGCTCTTCTAGGAGACTGGATCTTTCCTCGTCCCACTGCAGCTTCTGCTGCTTCAAGTCCTCTTGGGTCTGGACCAGAGCAGCCTTTATGCTGCAGGTTTCCTCCTCTTGCTCCAACAGAAGACAGGATCGTTCCTCTTCCCATTGGTTGCACTTTTTCACCAGGTCTTCATGGGCCTGGTTGAGTGCAGTCTTCAGGGTGCAGGTTTCATTTGTCACCTCAGCCAGGAGACGGGACTTTTCATCTTCCAACTGGCTGTTTTTGATTTCCAGGTCTTCTGGGGGCTGGTTGGGTGCAGCCTTGATGGAAGAGGCTTCAGCCAGGAGGCCGGACCTCTCTTCTGCACACTTTTGCGCCTGGTACAATACAGCATGCAATCTGTTGATTTCCCCCAGGAGAATGGTCCTGTCCTGTCCCCACAGGTAAGCCTGGTACTGCAGGTCCATGACAGCCCTGGTTACACCGACCTTCAGTCTGGAGTTCTCCTCTATTTGCTGGGCGAGGCACTCTTCTGTCTTCATACGCTTCTCCTTTTCAGTTTGGAGAGCGTCCATAAGTTTCCCCGTTTCCATGACTGCTTCTCTTGCTATGGCCTGCTTGTTGGATACCTCAGCAAGGAGTAGAGCCACGTTGGAGGTCTCCTTGGCTTCCTGATCTTCGAGCAGTTGTTTTAACTGCTCTACCTCAGGGATCTGAATTGGGGCTTGGTCAGTCACCTTAGTGATGATCTCAAACATATTCAAAGCTGTCACATCATTGGCCTGCTGTGACTGATTTGCTACACCTACAGACTGTGGCTCTTTAGGAGTCTCTGCAGGCTGTAGTTCTGGTTCTGGTTGAAGAGACACTGCAGGCTGCAGGGGTGTTTGAGTCACTGCTGAGTCATCTTTCCCACCCAGGACATTTCCTTCCTTCTGTTCGTCCTGAGTTGTCCCTTTTGATGGGTCCCTCTGCAAAGGAGGAAACTGTGATGTGTCCATCTTAACCATCTTTTGAATTTTCTTCAGAAGTTTAAATTCCTCATCTGATTCTACATCTAGATAGTCGGCAGGTGGGTATGTCCTTCTTTCATCCTGGTCGCTGAGGACTTTGACCTCTTGATTGTAGGAGCACAAGATAAGGTTCTTTTTCACCTTGTTTCTGCCTTTTTTGGCGTTGTTCTTCACTCTTGTCTCCATTCTCTCAATACTGTGAATACTTGCTGATGCTCTGCTCACTGTGTGTCTGACTGTCTGGCTCTGGTGGCTGGACTGAAATGACTGTTGGTGATTCTGAGCTTTTATAGGTTCTTGAGCAAAGATTCTAGAATGCATCAAAGGCTTCAGATGACATCACAGACATCAAAGGCAATCAAAGGAAACAAAGATTCCACAAGTTATGACACATTCAACCTTTTTTAAATCATTTCTAAATTTACAAATAAATGTAAATATCAATCTTAGCTTGTATTGCAAAAATTCACAACAAATGAAATTTTGGGCTCTGGCCCATTGACTAATTGAAGCATCTCTTCGATGCACTATTTAATAAATGTTGTTATTCCCAACTCATAAGCTTGACACAATTCATTTAATCTTTAATCTCCAAACTCTTTTCTGAATAGCTAATAAAAAAGACTTTCCTGATAACAAACAAAGTTTGATGTGTGGAGAGGCAGTATAAACTGAAAGTCAGAGGCACTCTGATGTCGTATAAAAATCCTTTATTAAACAGGGATGTGTCTATGCGTTTTGGCTCTACTGAGTCTTCGTCAGGACATGTCTACTGAGTCTTCGTCAGTCCCCTATTCTTGCAGAGCACCTGATTCCTCTACATTTTTTGACCCAATGCAGCACTCATTTCTACCTTTTTCCCTCTTCCCTAAAGAGCCTCTGAAGTCCAAAAAAAGTTGAAATATTGTACCACGTGCACTTAAGTTATCATCTTACTTGTGCAAACAAGATAAGTATTTTCCACAAGTTAAATATATTGTGCCCATGGGGTTGCTGATGACCAATCAATAGCGGTAAGGTTATGCCCCATGTGTGGAGGTCTGGGTTCGAGTCCGGCCTGTGGCTCCTTTTCCACATCATTTCCTACTCTTGCTCCCTGATTTCCTTCCTCAATGCACTATCCTATCTACATGAAAGCAAAAAGGCCAAAAATAAATCCTAAAAAAATAAATATACATCTGTTTAATCACTTGTGCGCACAATAAATTGTGTGAATACGTAAATTAACCTTTTTTTTTTCCCCATGCCTGGTCTTATACCCATCAGCACAGAATCCTCTGGTTTGTGTAGGTGTGATGAAATAATCAGAAGCAATTAAAAATAGAACACTTTATTGATTCATTTGATTCATGTTTTCAGCCCAGAGATCAGTTGTGCATTTTTTAAGGTTCATTTCGCAGTCCAATGCTCACAAGCATGCAGTATCAAACATGCCATCATTATTTCAACAGCTTCATCTACCATCAAGACCAATCAGGGGGATTTAAAGGACAGTCAGAAGCAACTTTCCGCAGCAGACACCTTATCTTTGACAACATGAGCTGTTTTAAAATATATTTAGCAAGAAAAGACAAATGTTTCGCTCATCTTTTTTCCTCAAGAACCCTTTTTCCAACTTGAACATTTGCAACATATTGTATCAGCATTGACACGGTGCAGAAACATGAAGGGATCTAAAAATCAACAGATAGTGCTTAAATAAAAGAAAGAGAAAACATTCAAGTAAAAGCTTCTTATTTTATATAAATCCAGTGTCAACATTCGTCAGATCATTCTTTTAATTAATTTTCAGACAATCAAATTCTGTAAGGCTGCAAATCTGAAGTTCAACCTTGCTAATGTGCTTTTTTTTAAAGACTAAGAGCAAAAGTAAACCCATTCAGAAAAAGTAGCACCATCACTTGCTTTAGACCACACATGGTCTGTATGAAATGCTCTGTATAAAAAACAGAGTTCTTTATAGTTTCCATCACAGAGTCAGAACATAAACATGTGTCAGAGTGATGGGGAAACAAGCACACACTGTTTGATGTTCTGTAAGCAAAGTAAGATTCATGAGAGAAACTATAACAGCGGATTAGGGAGAAAAAATAAGTTAGAATGTCACAATGAATAACAGAATATTTGACATATGCATTTCAAACAGGGGTTAAAAAACGACATAACGTTGTAATCCTGCAAAATATCTAAATTAACAAAGAGTCACATCTGGATGTGGGACTGCAGCTACATCTCTGTGCTCTTCTGCTTCCAGCGTTAGCTCTTATACATTTATGTTTTCATTACAAAAGACACCAACTGTCTATTACTCAGCTCACACATTCATGTTGGATAGAGACACAGGTAACCCGACTCTAACCAGACCTCAGGATCAGTCACGTGGAGGCCAGGGGCCGCAGCAGCTCCAGCTGGGACTCTAAGGTGACCCTCTCCTGATGAACCACCTGCAGCCCAAAGACAAAACATGACCTTTAATCACTGAACACGAGACACACCTCAGGCATGTTTACTTTACTATCCATGGTAATGATGATCTACGACAAGATGAATCCCCTGAAGTGTTTCCTTAATGTTCAGTACAACCTGAACATAAACTGAAACTGCTTGGCTGGAAATAACAGCATGCAATGATTCTGTTGTTCTTTGATTTCAACTAAAAATGGAGCTAAAAAGTTACTCTGAGGGTGGCATTAGAGGAAAGGTCACAAGGTCAATCCAATCAGACAGCCCACATGGAGTGGATTATTGTGAGAATGCAGAATATGTACATTTGTCGTCTAGGGTCTGCCCTCTTAAGAAAGAACAGAGCTCTGCAGAGCATGCAGGGTGGAGTTATAAAACTAGCTAGCTTTGCACAGGGGAGCGAAGACCCACAGGTGCATGCTGGGGAGGAGGTGGAGCTTTGAAATGTTGTAGGAAATGCAGTAGCTTCAATAGTGTGACCCATCATTGTTATCCTTAATGTAGCCTTTTTCACACATGCACTGCACTCCTGAACATTTCCCAAACATCGTCACCACTCCTCCTTCGTGCTTAACCAGCCGCAACCGCTTCAACTAAACCAAACAGACTATTTCAAGTTGTCAAAGTGAGTCTGACACGGATAATCTCCAGCTTTGAGGTTTAAATGTTTAAGGCAGTTCCTGAAGATATCAGGGCATGAATGACCTGAAATTTTCCTGAAAGAGTTCAGAGTATATGTGTGACTCAAGCGAGCCCTTAACGAACTGCAGGATTTTACTATTCAGCACTTTTTTAAACACCGGAGCTTGTCGCTTGAGATCATCCCATTGACAGTCCTTCCCACACTTCAACCTTTGTAAACGTAATATTTCCTTTTGAAGAGTAAAGTACCAAAGTTAGATCAGAAGAATCAAAGAAGGATTGTACTTTACTCTACAAAGTGGAGCTCGTTCATGCTACATACACATGTAATATAAATACAATACTTAGTTTTTAGTGTTTATCTTTGAGGGAGAAGAATTTTCTTTAACTTTTTCAAATGTCTTTATTTCAAGTGTTTCTCTCAGGAAGAAGTCAAGGACCTCTCCACACACACACACACACACACACACACACACACACACACACACACACACACACACACACACACACACACACACACACACACACACACACACACACACACACACACACACACACACACACACACACACACACACACAGCTGAGACTCTATTTTAAAGCGGACAGTTGTGGATGCCAAAGGCTGTGTGGTATGTTGACAAGGCTGGAGTCTATATAAAGACACATGTGCCTTTCTCTGCAGGATTCCTCACATGCTTTGAGGAATTAGCAGAACATGCAGATTTAACTGAGAAGAAGAAGATTGTCAATGTGAGAGCTTCTAATCGAAAATCTAAACCATGTATTTGGACTTGAGTTTTTGAGAATAAAGTGATATATTTCAGTGTATTGCTTAATCATTTGACTCTTTTTTTTAAACCTTTAGTCTCTGTTGCATTAAAGCTATGAAGGCGTTGTATGCGTGTGTGAAGGTTTTACTCCTGGATGGTTTGCGTGGAGAATGACCGGCACGCAGCATCTGTTCCAAATGTGAGAGCGTGTGCCCTGGGCAGATCCCCAACGCAAACAGCTCAGTCTGAGCCATTAGTTCAGCTATGAGTGACGGGTAAGGGGGGGTGGACAGATGAGCCGGGAACTTTTCACTAAGTTGGACCAGCAGGAACATTTGTTTGTTGCACTTTAATGAGAACATGAAGAATTCTGATAAACGATGAATACCTTCTGAATTCTGATAAAAGACATGTTCACACTTTCGACTTTCGAAATTCTGTTTTAAAAGTGATGGTCCTTTGACTGAGCTGTGAGATTTAAATGCACTCTGTATAAAGCATGCAGCATTTCTCTTCATTTTCTAGCAGCTGTTTGTCTGTTTCTGTGACCGTCACTCTCACCTAATCACAAAGACAAACTCTTTCAGCAGGATACTGAACACACACATTTGGTGACTGCTTCTATATCTGTGGGTGTGTGATGCTGTAAGTAACAGGAGATGATCTGACCTTTAGTTTCTGTTGGAGCTCACTATTGAGGCGTGTCAACACAGCGTTGGACTCCTTGTTTTTACGGATCGCCATCTGGATCTCCCTCTTCTGTTTGGACTGCAGCCTGGGAGAAAAAAATATCATCTTTAATAAACTTTTTCAAAATGTAAAAAATAACCAAATATGTCCAGAGAAAGACAGAAAGAGAATTCATGAGATTGATGTTCTGTTTTATTCAGTTGTTCTTTTACCAAGCAGATTTAAGAGACTGGATTTGATGCTTTGTGGTAAATAGTGAAACAATAATGTGCTCCTCTTGAAGACACCAAGGTGATCAGACCAAAGCAGCAGAGTTTTTACATCAATCATGCAGGCAGTGCTGGTAGTCCCTGCTGTTATTGACTCCTTCTCCAGCACTGACAGACGGTGTGAACGAGCTGTCGGCTCAACGACCCTAACCCTAACCCACAGCACATGTGCTTCAGTCATCAATGAGTCCACAGACATGAAGGTGAGTCGTATTGACTTCTGGATTTCCTTCTCTGAAAAATCTTTAGCGTACAGTCACCACCTCATAGTTTGACTTTTAAGTAGTTCTGAAGATCCCATACAGACAGATTTGTTTGCCTTTTCTGTCTTTCAGTGTTTTGCGGGCGTCTTCTGTGCCCAGAGCACCTTGCATTTTTCCTGAACACAGTGTGAGTGTACAAATCAATTGCACATTCCAATAAACATCATCATAACATTTTAAATAACGGGCTTCTGCAGGGTGATGACAAAGATGACAGTTTCTTAACAACAGCAATCACTGAGGACAAACTAGAGGTTGCTGTAGCTGAATAACGGGAGCTGTATCATTTGTATGATATGAGCAGAAAGCAGGGGCCTGGATGATAAAACAACCCAGTCTGCAACATTTCTATTTTATTTTAGGTTTTGACAACATAGGGAGTGCGATGTGCTCTGTGTTTTACAACCTTAATTTCTATGTCTGATCGTGACCTCAACTGGAATTTAAGCCTTTTTTTGGGGTGGTTTAACACAGACATATTTTATTTTATAGCGTTGTTAGGGCTAAAGAGTTAGCAAACACTGGCTAATCATGAGGTAAGCAGACATTAGTTTTTATTATGAGTTGTGTTTCTGTCCCACCAATTAATTTAAGACCAATTTCCATTTTCTTACTTTAGGTTCTGCTCTCTAAAATCTCAATAAAATATCTCTTTTTCAGCATAATGTTCATCTATGTTTGCTAACTGGGTGCTAACTTTTTCTGTCTGCTTTTTGGAGCCTGACTTGTAAAAAACAGCTGATGCTTTGGAGCTTTTTTCTCTGATCATATCTGCTCCTTTGAGGCTTAAAGTAATGCTCACAGGCAGAACCAAATGAGTTGAAAGAGGCTGAACAGAGTCCCAGAGTTAAGAGGAGCTGCAGACTGAGTGATACGTCATGGCTTGGAGAAAATCTAATTCAGCAAATTCTACACAAAAAAAAAAAAAAATCACTTTTCCATCAGCTGTTGTTTAAAAGTTTATGTTTAAGGACTGAAGAGTCACATGTAGGACTCACTTGGGAGCAGGTTTGGTTGGAGGAGGAAACGACATGGCAGGAGAAGGTCCGCTCTCCAGGTTCTGACTCTCCGGGTGATACTTCCTGCGGACTGGCTTCTGTGGCACCTGACTGTGAGAGACTCCAGTCACCTCCTGATGGAAAAAAAATCACAAATAGATGTAAGCCCACTCAAACCAGCAGAGACATAGACTGTAATTTATTAAAAAATGGTACGGCTGTATCCCAAATGTTAGCTGACCTGTTTTGAAGCATTAGTCAAGTCTTCAGTACTTCGATCAAACCGCGAGCGAGGACCCTGATCGTCATGCTTCACACCGCTCTTCTCCTGCAACACAGAAAAAGAAAAAACCACGTAACACGCTACACATTCAGAGTTTATTTGCATACCATAAAGAGGTGAAATGAGAGAGAGAGAAGCTAAAAATGCAGAATGAAATGTGTCCTGATGGTTATAAATCTTCTTCTCTGCGTAACAGACGATCAAGTGCCCTCCTGGTGCTGCTTCGTTGGGCCGCCGTGATTGATTGATTTGCTTTTACTGCATCACCTCACTGTATTTCAGCCATAATTCTCTTTAATGCAACAAGGTATAAAGTATCAGCTCCTGCTTTCATTCACCAAAGAGGTTAACAGTGCAGCAGAGTGAAGACAGGAACCCACACATGAAGGTCAATTTCTTCATTTCAGCTCAAAGCGAGAAGACGTTTCTTCTAAAATTCAGAACCTTTAATGCATCCACCATCTGTTAATGTTGCATTAAGTGAATTTGATCCACTCGTTAGTGCGGCTTCATTGTGGCTGCAGTTGAAATTCTTGGGTTTTCCTGATGGGTTAAACAGGCTAAAAAGCTGCTGCTGGAAATCGTAACCATGAACCTAGAAATCACTTCTTTTTTTTTTTGCTGAGAAATGCAACTGACGTAAAAAGGAGATGCAAAATTAAAAGAGTCTGCGATTGGCTGCAGCACTGGAGGGGGAAACACAACCGCAGCATGGAAACGTTTAAAGTAATGCAGTGCTTGGTACAGCGGTAATAGACCACAGGAGCTCCATCAGCAGCATGTGTGGTCACAGCAGCCAGCAGCAGGTCACGGCTGCTTCACTGCAGAAATGTGAAGGATGACGAGACACTGTCGTCGTCGTGTGGACCCTTTAGAGGACTGGGTCTTTATATCTGCTCATACAGTATATTCTATAAGTAAGAAAAGGAAGCAGGTCAAAAGCTGACCTGGTGGCTGCAGTGAAACAAACTATAAAGAATGAATCAATGTTGTTGCTGATTGTCTGGTTTATAATTTGTTGGTCATGGAAATGAATCAGAATGACATGGAGTCTGTTTCATTACCAGCTTAAAAACTCCTGACATCAATGATAACAAAGAGAATAAAAACTAAAGTAGAGTTGTGTGAAATGAAGAAGTAAAGAGACGGTGAGTAGAACAGGACAAGAGAAGTGAAGGAAGAGAAATTAAAGTGAAGGGAACTGAAGTGTACGGCTCCACTAGGGATCGCGCCGGAGCACTCAACGCGCCTCTTAATGGTTGTACACCTGTTTTATGGCATTAGTTGGAATATTATTTTATTTTGTTTTCCCTCTTTTTTTGCTGTAGGTTACACAATAGGTGAAGTATCCTCAATGAATGCACCTGATTGGATAAGACGTGTGGCTAGTCCGGGCAGTTGCTGGACTCATTTGCATTCTTGTACGGCAAGCGCGCTGGAGCCCTTCTCGAAATGCGCCGCAAAGATCCCATAATGCATTGCGCGACTGCCTCTCCGGCTCTCCGTAGAAAATGAATAGAAAGCGTTGAGACGCGATCCGTCGTCAGAACCAGTGGAGCCGTACCGTAAGAAAGATTTTAAAGTTTGTAGTCAATAGGGGCGACGGTGGCTGAGTGGTGAGGGTGTGCGCCCCATGTACAGAGGCTGTAGTCCTCGAAGCGTGCAGCCCAGGTTCAAATCCCACCTGTGGCTCCCTCTGCATGTCATTCCTACCTCTCTCTGTCCCTGATTTCTGACTCTATCCACCGTCCTATCTCTACAATAAAAGCATAAAAAGCCCCAAAATAAATCTTTTTATTAAAAAAAAACAAAAAAAAACGTTTGTAGTGAACAAAAGTGAAGTAAATAAAGAAAAACTGTAAAATAAAGAAAAGTGAAGCAAAGTTGGATTTAGGTTAAGAGTAATCTGCGTGTTATTCATTTCCTTGTGTGAATGAAATGATCAAAGAATAAACATGAACAGTCTGAAGATGTGAAACTATTTTTCCTCTGACTTGAACTACTCACTGATCTGCTTCAGAGGTTTTCCAGGAAACTCTCGTATGAAATATTCACCCTTAAATGTCATGCTGACATGTTTTATGTCAGGGAAGCACCGTAACAACCACTACGGTTCACTTGTGTCTCTGAGGGAGTGGGACTGGTGTGGGTTTCAGTTTGTCTTACTAAGTGAACACACCTCTGGGATCTCCTCCTCAGTTATAATAAAAACTAAAGTTACACATCCTGTGGAAAGAGCAGAGTGAGGGATAAGAGAGGAAGGATCGAGTCAGACTGATGCAGAAACCTTTGACATATAAACACGTGATTCGTTGGAGAGGAGTCACAGGGGTGTGTAGAATAAAGACAAAACACCCTTCAGGAAAGTGAGATGTTCAATGAAATACAAAGAGGAGCTTTGTAAATGCATGCCTCACTCTTCATGATCCAATAAATAACTGAAGATACCTGAGAGTAATGAACTTAAAGTTAAGATGCATGTTTTGTTTTGAGGTCTTAAAGAAGTACTTTTCATATACTGAGAGGAGTGATGAGGTCGGAGCCTATAGATGCCAAACACAAACTATATTCTGCTACTGCAATAAAAGTATAATAAAACAACATGCAATAAAACAACCTATTCCTGCTGTTTTAAAAAAACCTCTTGATGTGAAGCAGAGAGGGACATTACTGAATATGATACACTATATAATAAAGATGCTTGAATATGTTGTTAGTAGAGGAGCCCAGCTTCAAATGTGTATTCAAAGAGCTCAATCCTCCTTACAATGTCTAAACTCCCAGTGACCATGATCTATGATTCCTTTCTGACCTTCCAGAGCAGTGATTGAGCATGACTCACAGCTGCCCCTGCTGTTCACTCACAGCTATGATAAATATGAAACATGTTCCCTAAAGGCATGGATTTGATGGTGTCTTACTTTTTATATTGTATTTATTTGAGGAGATGTTATTCATTTCTCTGTCGCTTTTTATTTTTGCATCATTTTGTTTTCCTCTTTGTTTCTTTAACATTTGCTCTGTTACTTCTAAATAAACAAGAGAAACCAAGAAATATGCATCAGAGACTTTTTGTTGCTTTTTTCCCCTCCCAATCTGAACTCACACAGAACCGTGATACAAAAACTGAGGTAAGAATCGAACCATGACCTCAGTGAACCGTTACACCCCTAGAAATAATGAAGGTCCTTCACATTGAACTACATATCTATCAGACACAAGATGAGATGTCCCAGTAAAGCTGAACTTCTTCAGTCTAACACAGGAGACATTGTAAAATTGAAGAATCTTATCATATCAAATGTTTTTTTTCAATATAAGTAAGGCTTCAAATGTCCAACTCCCTGTTTTCTTTTTCCCTGTGATATGTCTTGTCATGAATAATAAACATGCACTGGACTGTTGCATTATGTAAGAGCTCTCAGGTAAACTGCAGACTCAAATGTAATCATGAATTCTCTCAGTGAAGACAAATGAAGGACACAGAGTGTGAGGTTAGAAAAGGTTGAACAACTTGTCACTTCAGTCATAAATAAATTTGTGATATCTTCACTAGCTTAAGAGTCATAGCCTCTGAGTTCATTCTAGTCTCCAAATAGAGTCGGGTAAATATGACAAACATGACCTCAGTGACAAATTTATAGAGGGACCTCAGGGATGGAGGGAGGGGTGGAGACTGCTGACTTTTCAGTCCGCTGACTGTTGTGTCTTGCTGCTTTGCGTATATGCAAACTCAAAAGCAGGACACGTCTGTGCAGGAGAAGCAAACCGGACTGCTTACCTCTTCTCTGAAGTGACTGAAGTCTGCAAAGTTTGGCTGCTGCACTTTTTTCTGACCAGATTTCTCTGGAACGGTAATAAAATGAGGAACCTGAAGAGAAAGATGAAAGGTTGTGATGAATGTACGAGATGTAACTCTGTTTTAGACTACTGGCTGTACTACAGGAACTGACTAGTTTGTAGGGGAATTATGTGTGTTCACAATCTGGGTCTTAATTTGTTTATATAAAATAGCATGTGTAGAATAACACCAGGAGATAGCCACATCCAGCAGCCACAAACAAGATGGAATAGCTGCAAAATAATCTTTAGCGTAAATGTGCAGAATCAAGTTTCTCTTCTAAAAGTTCATGTTTTTAACCACTGACAGGCTGCGAATATTATCCTGAGTGTTTCATTACTTTATAAAAAGCATCACTTTAGAGATCGACCTTTAAGTCGAGGTGAGGTGCTGATATTTGTGTTATCTTTGAAAGCCACCAGACTCCATTAACAAAAACAGAGATTTTAAAACTTACTGATCACATGAGTTACTGTCTTTTGTTGTCTCAATTGTTCGGTTTGTTTTGTGTTATTTTGGGACTTTTGTGTTATAAATTGTAAGTTCAGATGTCATACAATAATTGTGTTACAGATGAACACAAAAAACTGACAGGAGGCAGCGGTAGATCAGCTACCAGAGGATGTATGATGCAGGGCAGTATTAATGTTAAAGTTGAACATGGGGTTTGGTGACTTTGAAGAGCTCACAGCATTAGGAAGCACAGAAAGGGTTAAATATCAAGTTACACAGAAACATATAAACACTGTGTATTTATGTAATGTTTGTGTAATAATATGTTCATCTTTGGTGGCTTTTCTCCTGCGGTACAAACTATAGTGTCCATGCTTACAAACAGTCAAAATGGGACATGCACATCAGGACATTTCTGTTAGTTTGACCCCAGAAGAACAACAAAGGCTTTTATTCCCTGTTTATATTGAAGAGCAGAAATCAAAGCAGGCTTACCTGTGTAGCTGCTGGTCTGGGAGGGAGAGCTGGAGGAGGAGGCAACCAGCCACTTTTCACCCCTAAAATCCAATCACCTAATACTGTTTACACAGGTTATCACTGCCCCATCACACCTTTCACACTGAACAATAAAACCCACATGTCTCCATTTCCTCATTTTATCCCCCCTATGAAAGGAGAACTGTCATGAACAAAACACAATAACTTTGAGCTTTAGTGTGAGAAAAACTCACACCATGAGAAGGATTTAGACGGGGGCAGGAGTCGGAGGATGTTACCTGGAGCTCCCTGCTGAAAGAGCTTGTTGAGGTCCAGTGAGGAGGCTCGGGAGTGAGTTTTCTGGGGCCGAGGAGGAGGCGTGGGGGGCTCCTCTGATTTCTTCATGGCATCTTCAATAGAAGTGCTGGAGAACGACCTGCAGGAGGGGGGGGGGGGGGGGGTGTCACACAGATGGGAAGCGAAAAAACTATAATGAGGACGTGTGCCAAGCAAGAATCCTTTACTTCAGTTCATCAGGGAGCGATTTTCACCTGGGTCTAGTTTTTGTCCTCATCTGTGTATCCAGGTCGTGAGGCGGCTCTGTGAGGGAGGATACATTAAATCAACAAAGAGACATCACACTTTTAGTATTGACTGAATGTTTTAAGCCACCAGAGTCATATATAAATAAAAACAGAGTGAGCCTCTTTTTTTAAAACCAAAAAAACAAACTTTCCATCACAGTTCATTAATATCAATTATAGACGTCTTTCTTTTCCTGAGGATTAACCCGAGCCGCCCGCCAAGAGAACCATAACCTCCATCTTTTTCTAAATTAGGAAGAACAGCTTTGGAAAAGGATTAATAACACAACTGAACATCCTGTTTAAAAAGAGGTAGATTTCCCCTATTTGACGCTTTAGTTTAAGTAAGTCACTCCTCACATCTTCAACAACTGTGAAAAAGGAAAAAGGATTTCCCTCTGAGTGAAAGTTCACAGGTTATTGGTGTATCGGTGGTGGAGGAGGAGGAGTGTATTTAAAGGTTGTTTCACTTTAAATCTCCAACGTGTAGAGAAGTGTTTGTGTCACCTGGTCGTTCAGGAAACGCACCGAGTCGTAGAGTCCGTCTCTGTAGAGATGTTGTCAGCCTCTTCACACTGACTTCTGAAATGTCAACGTGGAAAGCAGCTTTTTGTAACCAGAAGAAAACAGAGCGCTCATTAGTCATTTTATTATGAGGTGACTGAATCAACAAAATATAGATACCACAGACTCTCTGCTTTTTCTTTTTTCAGGTTGAACTGTGACCATCTGAAAACATCCACAGGTAGAGATGTATGCACACTAGGTTTCACCACTGCTGTTGTTTTGTGTCCTCTTTACTTTAAGACAAATCAGATCTGTAATGTCTCTGAATTATTTCTGAAACTGACCTAAACCAAACAGTTGGGATTTGAATTTATCTGCTTTGCATTTATGTTCAGACTCAGGAATAAGATGTTTTATCAAAAACTTTGTTTCATCATCTTTGAGTATTTAGAAAAGCGCTATATGAATCTAATTTATTATTATTATTATTATTATTATCATACATTTATGTTGTCTTCTGCATTTGCTTCTCGCCTGATTTCAGAACTTTATTGTTGACATCTTTTTTTTCCATTGACGTGGTTCCTTAAATAAAACTCTTTTTGTTTACCTTGTTGACATGACTCATCTTGTATATCTTGTTTTGTTATAACCAGGCTTGGCTGGAGTCTCTCTCGTATGTTCTGATCCTAAGAACAAACAAACAAAAAAAAACAAACAAACAAAAAGGAGTAAGCCGCTTAATCATTTAGAACAACACTACTGCACTGCCTGCACACACTGTGATAATGTGAAGTGTGGGATGGATTGTGAGAGGTAGCTGATGGGATACTGATGATGGAGTAACTTGGAGCAGCCTCATGTTCAGCTCGTTAGCGCCCCCTGCAGGCAGCCAAGAGGTACTTCATATTTAAAGTTATTAAAAGAGGAGGATTTGATTTACCATCTGATTTGACCTCAGGTCAGTAAAGACTATCAGGGGCTCAGCACTCTGCAAAAAAAAAGCACAGTTTAAACTTTACAGTGTTATTAAATCAAAAACAACGACAGATTTATGAAGGTAGATATGTTGCAAAATAGGAGAACTTGTAGAATGTTTTTTTTTATACAAGTAAACATTCAAGTTCTCAGATCACATTCTACAAGCTCTCCTATTTTGCAACATATCTACCTTCATACAGATTGGCTCACTTACTCCGATACTGCTTTCTTACCTCAGGTGTGTCCGGTATGTCCTCTTCCTGCAGAAAGCCCGGCCGCAGCGTCGGAGGCAGGTTCTCTGGGAGAGGATAACCGTTCTTACGAGCGACGATCAAATGAAAAGCTGTGCAGAACTCAGCAAACGTCAGAGCTCCGTCTCTGTCCACATCACTCAACTCCCTGGAAAACAGCAGAGGACAAGAACTCAAAAGATTTGTCACATGCATACAGTCTATGGTCATTCAGTGATCGCTCTGAATAAACGTCTCCATCCCTTCCTACTTTCACACACTGAAGTGAATTCACCTTTATATTATATCCTCACATCAGACCACTTGGACTTCATGCAGAAAAGATACTAGTCTGCTGGCAGGAGTATCTCAGGAGTTTTGTGAAAGTGTGAACAAAGGTTTTCAAAAAACAGAGAGCCGGGGTCTCACTTGTAACCTTTGCATGTTTGTGATCTATCAAAACAAACCTGACGGTAAAATGTGCTCACCGGGAAGCAAACTCTGACCCAGGCGTACGTACATTTTAGAGGAAGGGGAAATTGGCGACACAGAGGGTGAGGTGGTGAATTGAACCCATAATGTATATTGATGTTTCACACATTTGATTTCACTAAATATCAAACTTTACTGATTTTATGGTCTTAATAATCATTAAAACCGGTAAAATAAATAAACATGTATAATAAAGGCCTCAATGACAAAGCAGATAAGATTATAAATCACAATATTTACCTTTTCTTTTATGAATGAAAGAAACCTTTATCAAGTAATAGATTTTTTAAAAGCAGAGCTCCCCAGAGGACAGCCGAATCGTGAAGGTCTGTCCTTTAAAACTGAAGTCTCTGTGTGACTCAGTGATCATGCTGAGGAGCTCGGCTGATAAAAACCCAAATGACCCCGAGATCAGAACAGCACAAGGGGAACACACACACACACACACACACACACACACACACACACACACACACACACACACACACACACACACACACACACACACACACACACACACACACACACACACACACACACACACACACCATGAGTCAGCACTCACCAAATGTGGGAGAGCTCTGGTATCGGGAGCTTGGATTTTGTGAAGAAGTTCTTTGCAATGGTTCCTAGAAAGAGAAAGAAAAGGTAAGGTAAATAAAAAAAAGATGGGAAATATTTCTTAATTAAAAAAAATAAAAAATAGTTACAGTAAGGGGAAGATGTGGTTCATACCCAGGATGAGAGCCCCCAGGTCAGGCTGCAGGCTCTTGAACTGGTTGGTGTAATACTCCAGCTGTTCCTCTGTGATCCTCCAGGGGTCATCGTCTGAGTACTCCACTACACCCTGCTGGTCCAGCCTCTCTGACGAGGATGTCTAAACAGATAAACAACAAATCATGCCATAGATTTTTGAATAATAAACAACCACTTTCATGCCCCAAAACATACAGAAATCGTTTTTTTACCCGAGCCATAGCGGGGTGCTCCACAGTGGGTTTGGTCCCGTATTTAGCAGGTGAGGAGTGCTGCTCGAGCTGAACGATCGGCCGGGAGAAATGTTTGCTTTCATACGCTAAAGGACAGGGAAGAATAAATAAATAAACACAACTCAGGTAGAGACAGGAAACCGGAGACTGACATGCATTGATTTCCTACTCATTACACCCCTCAAACATGTGATCTGAGAGAATGTGAGATTTACTGATCAAAGGGGAAAGAGAGGGGGGAAGACACAAGAGGGAAATCAAGCTTCACACTTGAGGAGAGTGAACAGGTGTCAGAGATGAAGGAAAAACACTTGTAGATTAATTTCTATTTTATAAACAAGACATGACACGGCCTTTCAGTTGTCTGGAGCACCAGTTATTAAGATCAGTGTTTTATTAAAGAGACCAAAGCAAAGCCAAATGTAGTGAAAATATTACTTTAGAGGGGAAAAACAAGTTAAAACAGCTTGATTTTCTATTTGTGATCTATTATTGGTGTCATTTTTTTGTTTTATATTATAAGGGAAACTTTTTTATGCTGCTGCATTGTCCAGGACTTTCTTGTAGAATAGATTTTAGGAAAATAAAAAGAGGAAAAAACAGGGATTCCTCCTTACACACAGTCTATGTGTGTGGCACTAGCAGTGTGACACTATCATGATATGAGGTAAATTTACAGACTCTATAGCTGCTGTCGGGTGTCAACTTGTCTTACCAATTTGTGCGTCAGCCCCATTTCTCTGCTTGGCGTACGGGTAGCTGCGGTAAGCGAGGGGAGACTGAGGGGGAGAACTGCTCGGTGATCGTGGGGGGGACCAGGGTTCCTTTGAGGGAAATAATATTTGTTAATTCAAACAAAAAAAGGATAAGAAGCAACTCTCTCAGCATGTAGGAACTCTGATGGCTTTCTCTAAAAATGGTTGGACAGGTTGTTGGAAACTCTCCGACTAACATGACAGTGTGACGAGGTAATGTGTGTGTTTACATCGAGTGGCACATTAACGTTATGAACAGCCTGTTCCAGCTCATCCAGAGGTCTGAAATGACATCTGGTGAGGGTGGAGGAAAACATAACCGGACCTTCAGTCACTGTGATCCACTTGTAATTATTGTGAGGTAATTTTGTCTTCAGAATTCTTGAGAGTTTATGTTTGAGACTTCTGTGTCTTTTGGAGCAAACCTCAAGTGGACACTCAAGGAGCTGCAGTTATTTGCACTTCCTCATTAACTTCCCTTTCGGATAACGCTGGGACCAAATCTCTTAATTTGAAAAATTGTGATTATTATAATTTTTGTATTATTAAGTGAGTGTCATGGCTCGTTTTTCTTTTCGTAAAACAATATGAAAAAGCATTATTGAAATAAATAAATTTTGTGTTATTTCTTTGGGCCTTTTTGCCTCAACTGCTGTTGGAAGGAGATGGAGATGGCAAGCAGCAAAGGGCCATGTTCGGATTCAAACCCTCACCGGCTGCCACGAGGACTGTAACCTCTGTACATGGGGCGTGGGAAATAACCGCTAGGCTCTCAATATATCCGAGCATTGTCTATTGATAAATTGATCAAATGAAGTGTGTTGAATAAACAAGAATACATAGTTCCTATAATTCAGTTTCTGCTGTTCTTCAGGTTTCATTATCTGTGTTTATAAAATGTCCTTCCCTTCCGAAATCCAAAATAAACCAAAAATACTTTTTTTAACCCTAAATTGGCATCATTTGATCTGAGGGCAGCTGATAGCTTGAGCTTCAACTTTATCTTCAAAATGGTGTGAAAGCATAGACATTATACCACGGCCTTGTTCTAAAGCTAAAAAATATACACATGCTAAGTGAGAAAGCTTTCCTCGTGTACATAAAATATATTTTCATATTTATGGAGATTAAGATTTAACAATGTCTTTATTTCAAATGCAAACACTGTGATAACAATGACAATTCAATTTATTGTGCAGCCATCATTTAAGGATGCCTTTCTGGCCTGGTTCCTTGAAGGAGGCTCTATCATCCTTCTCTAATCTCTCACAACAAGGCTTTTCTGCTCTGATGCTTTAAAGCTCACTGGAATGTCTCAGTGCACCATTCCTGATCAGCTGTAAACATGACCTAAGTATAGTTCCTACCAGAGGTGGGGCAAGGTCATTGTCGCGGGGCTGGATAGCGCCCTCTGCAGGCTTATCCTGGGAAAACTCAAACATACATTTACCTCACTATCTAAAACTTTCCCACATTTAGTTTGGACATCCAGCATTGTAACACTATAGATGAGTTTTAAAACAGGGATCAGTAAGCAACTGAGAGGTGGACTGGAGAACAAGTTTAGATTGATGCAATAAACAACATCTAATGTGCTCTTAAATATGGTGAACTATCTATTCACAATTTTAAAGTTCATATTGACACCACAATTAGACTGCCTGCACACTAACATCTATTTGCTTCATTTCACACACCTGACGTGTTTACCTGGAGCCTGGCTTTATGCACTCAATAAACCAAAGCTCCATCCCCTGTTTTGTGTCTGAATTACTTTTATATGCAACTCTGAACTGAACTTATAACTTTTTGAGCTGACAGTAGTAAGTAAAGTAAGCAAGTAAAGTTTATTTTCTAGAGCATCTTTCACAGATACATTTCACAAAGTGCTTTACATTAAAACAAGTTAGACAATGCACCAAAATAGAATGGTTGAGAACAATGAAAAGTGCAGCGGAGACAGTTAAAAATCATAACAACAATAGAACAGCTGAGTACAGTGATGCATAAAAGGCCAATGTTACTGAGAAATAAAAGCAGAATAAATAAGACAATTGATGCAGGAACTAGACTGGTTCAGAAAATACAAATAGGCTAACCAAATGCTTTTCTGAATAAAACATTCTCAGCTGGTATTAAGAAGGTATTACAGGAATCTGAGGAACGCAGAGACAAAGGGAGAGCATTCCATAGACTGGGAGCAACGGTTTGAAAGAGCGGTCACTACGTGTTTAAAAACGAGTATGGGGAACAGCCAATAGATTTTTGTCAGAAGACATAAGAGGACCATAGGGAGTTTAAGGGAGGAGGAGCTTGGCAATGTACTGAGGTGTTAGACCATGTAGTGTTCTAAAAGTTATCACAAGGATTTTAGAATGGATGTAAAACTTAATGGGGGGCAAATGCATAGCGGATAAGATTGATTGGATGCGTGATCTCTTGTTATTTCCAGTTAAAAGCCAAGCTGCTCCATTTTGGACAGTTTAGAGACGGTTTAAGGATGTCTTGTTTAAATAGGTAAAACAGCAGTACAGTAATCTAAGCGAGAGGAACTAAAAGCATGAATGATCATCTCCATTTCGACCTAGGTCACAACAGCTCTAAGTTTTGCGATGATCCTCAGTTGGAAAAAGCAAGAGTGCACAAGCTGGCTGACATGGTTGGCAAGGGACATGGACTGGTCAAAAATGGCACCCAAATTACAGAGGCAATACTTAGCACAAGCACTTAATGACCCCATATACTGGTGAATCTTAGGGATGGTACGGTCAGGTGCAATTATAAGAGTTTTAGTCTTATTAGCATTAACTGAAGGTATACATTCGTCACCCAGGCCTTGTTGGCATCCAGACACTCATTTAAAATGTAAGATTGGTTAAAATCATTTGGTTTAAAAGAGCAAGACAACTGTATATCATCTGCATTAAATAATAATAAATACCAATAAAATGCCTGATGGTCTGGCTAAAATATAGCACATATAAAAGAAACAGCATGAGACCCAGAACAGAACCCTGTGGTACACCACACAACATAGGTGCTATGTGTCAGACATGAATTCTCCCACAGAGACTGAAAAACTTCTGTATGTGAGATAGGACGCAAAACAATCCAAAGCACTACCAGAGATGCCCACCAGCTGGTTAAGTATATTTAAAAGAATATGATGGTCAACAGTATCAAATGCAGAGCTCAGGTTGAGCATCTGCAGCCATCATGATGTCATTTGAGAATTTGAATAGAGCGGTTTCAGTTGAGTGCAGTCTACAGAAACCAGATTGAAGGGTCGTGCAGGTTATGTGTCTCCAACACATCCACCACTTGGGTGGCTACCACTTTTTCTAATAGTTTGGATACTAAAGGCAGCTTGGAAATAGGCCTATAGATTATGGGGAGTTTGTGGGGTCTAAGTTAGGTTTTTTCAGCAAGGGCTATTGCATGTTTAAAACGGCTTGGAATAAAGCCAGATCAAGGGAAAGATTGATCATGTTTAAAAAAGTAGGACAAATTGAATCAAAAACAGTTACAAACAAAGATAAGGGAAGGATGTCGAGGGGACCAGATGAATGCCTTCTTTAGACATTACCTTCTTCTCAACGCTGGCCTCCTGGTGCCTGAAGGCGCTTCGATCTGCTGGAGTCCAGGAGACTGAACCAGGTGCCGTTCCACACGGAGCCCCCTGACCGTCTATGCTCTGAGGGACGGATGAATATCTCATCTCTGGTTCATTCTTCAGCCCAGCAAATCTAGGCAGAGGTAGATCTAAAGGGAGAGATTTCTTTTGAGTCTTTTTAACAACCTTTCATTAGTATTATTAACTTCAATATTATTATTCTATATCATTCCTGAAGAGTAAGTCAAAACTAAATCATTAAGGTAAAAATAGATCATTTTTTTTCCTCTTGTCCGTTCGGTAGGTTGACCTTTGGTACCTCTAGAATTAGACTCAAGGAATTAAACAGGATCAGTGTCTTTATGTTTGTTGGTCAGTCGAGGTAAACTACTCCAGAAACACACCGCAGAGAATTTGAAACTCTGAACACACTCAATTCCAATTATCCGTCATGTGCTTTGCAGGAAACTGTTTATCTTTCTTTTGTTTAGGTTGTGATTGTGTGCATTTGCAAAATGGGCAAACCCACTTAGTCCTTTCCACGCGACTCCCCTTTCATCCAGATTAGACCAAATCCTGCCATGCTAAGATAATCCTCTGATCCCTTTTTGCTCTCGTAAGACGCCTTCTCTCTGAGCAGCAGACTTACTGGCCGTTATGCTCTCCAGGTGGACGGGCAAGCCAGACTGAGCGGCCGCCAGCAGCTTCAGTGCCACGTAGAACTGAGGAGTACCAAAGTATCCCAGACGCTTTGCTCCACACACCTCGGTCACCTGGAAAACACAGAGAATTTAGAATTACTTTTCAAGGGTCTGTATTCAAAAATGATACAGTGTATTACCCTGATAATCTCCTTTTTCACGCAGCCTTCAGTGTTTTGGTCTCTCCAGGAATATACAGCCAGTGGCATGTGATAATCTTACACTTTGATCTAGATAATGTGTAGCACAGAATTTCAGGCTCCTCTAACAAGATAAAACTAGAAGAAACAGTATGTAAGGGATAAGCAGCACAGAGGCATCTGTTTATTCAGCACTGTTCTGATTACAAGTACAATGAGTGCTTTGGGGGATGAGAGAAGAGTAGGATTTAGAAGGGAAATTGATAGAAAAATCTATAAAAAAATGTTACAAGAATACATTTTCTTTGAAAGAAAACACAAAGAAAACAAGGTTCTAAACAAGTAAGACATAGCTGTGTTCAGAAACGTTTTCATGATCGGCTCATTTGTGAGGGGTTGTGTTAGGGGTAGGTTATCAAACCATGTGGCCCAATAAACCACTGAGAAGCTGTGCTGGTAATACAAAAATAATACGTATTTAAGCATATTATCAATAAATATAAAAACACACATTAGGAAATTTGAGAAAACACAGAAATGGCTCGCCTGGATCTGTCTGAAGGTAAAAAAAAACAGCAGCTTTCAGCTGAAGGCAGTGCAAAAGTTACAACCATTTTAACCTGGCTTTATATAGACACACATAAAGATATTAATTCAAAAAATTATCATTATATGGATAAGGTAAGTCAATCACAGACTGCTTAATAAGAAGGCTTAATAAGAAGACTGCTTAATAAGAAGGCTGGGTACAGGCGAAAATACCTGGTCAGCATGGCCTTTTACAACCCATAAAGCAAAAACCTTTGCTGCAAAACCAAACCAAACCAAACAACAAAATACAATTATATAATATTCAGACCAACAAACTAGAGCTAGATAGCTATGGATATTGGATGGACATTTTTTATCCTTTTGTATCTTTTTAGTATGGATTGGCTATAACGCACTCAAAATCTACCATTAAAGGGATCGTACGATAACAGTAGTGTCGTAATCTGGTTAGCTTACCTAAGCGCAAAGACAGGGAAACATGGGGGAGCTAGTCTGACTCTGTCTAAAAGTAAAGAATACAAGTATAATCCAAGTAAGTAAGTTAACAATTAATACATAAGTAAGATGAGCAATCCAACTACAGTAAATAACTAAACACAAAAGGGATATATTTGTGAAAGTAAAGCTAACGTTTAGCCGCTAATAGCAGTTAGCTTGCCTTAGCAACATGAAGAAACAGAAGGAGATTTAGCCTGGCCCTGTCTCATGGTCGAAACTTCACAAGTATTCAGCTAAAAGCCCCTCAAAACACTCTAACCCTGTTCTTGATAACATTCTGAAAATTGTGCTGTGTGAATACACTTATATATCATTATTCATATAGCATACATGTATCCCTCAGCTACTGTAGGCATAGAAACAGAAAAGAGGATAAAACTGATTATTAGATCAGTGTTTTCTAAAGGCAACAAAATGAAGCTATACCAGCACCTGAAGATCACCAAGATCTTTTATTTTATAAATAATGATGCAATAACAAAGATCTATAAATGAGCTCTAGCTTAGCTTGCAAGCTGCAATTCTTCTTTTACAATTTCTTTGTTACTGAAAAGATAAGGAGTATTTCCAAATGTCACCACAATTGCCAAACAGAGTGTGTCCTCAAACCCTGAGTGGGCTGCAGGATGGTGGCCTATAGAAACTTGCACGACTGTGTTCAATTACCATCATACGACGGAGGATTATCTCGTAAATGAACGAGTTCGAGACCAGCCTGCGCAAAAATGATGAAAGTAGAACTCTTAAAGCCTTTAAATAATAAAAGAATAAAGTTGTTATTTTAGTCTATATATCAGAAGAGCAGCAGCATCCTGTTCTCAAATGACAACATGGAGCATCTTGTTATACTTTAGTAAAAGTTTCACAAATAAGGAAAGGCTACTTCCTTGTGTAGTCGGTAAAAAAACAGTTAGTTGAAGAGAAATGTTTTTTTCTCAACTTGCAAGAACTTGTAAAATGATGAATGAACAGGACACAAACTGGCTCTGCACATGAGACACTTTAACAAGGCAGACAGACAAAATATCCAATAGTTGTGTTGGGGCTTTACTTATGCAAATATGAAACATCATCATCATGACATTGTCTAAAAATATCATGACCCTGAAAAGATGTGCAAGAAACTGTGGCTTTTCCGAAGAAAGAACCACACTGACAGGAAGTTGAGTCTGCAGAGGAAAATACTTTAAGAGTTCTCCTTACAGCATTTTGGCCAGGCTGGTCTCGAACTCTTTAATTTACAAGATTATTTTTGTAAATTTACGACTTTAAACTCGTAAATGTATGACTTTATTCATTTCTCATAATGATTATTTTTTCTTTAACGTGGCCCTAATCCTCCGTCCTACAAACACAAAACATACATGCAAGACTTTTTTTTTTTTACACACTGCTACAGACTAATTATTTCAACAACACAAACAGACTCAGTTGACTGTTCTAGTTTCACAATGTGAAGACAATCCATCCAAAAGAGAAAGCTTAGCTTCCCTCAGAGGAAACACTGGATTAACAGCGCTTAGAGCTACATTTTTATTTCTGCAAACATAATCAATCCAAAACTTCACATTGTTTTTTTCACTCCCAGAGGAGTATGAGAACACTTTCTGAAATGAAATATGACGGACAGGAGTTCTGTTAATACTCGTTGTCTAATGAGGTCGAGAGGCGGGTGGAGAACATGTATGTCATGTCGCCTTATGAGACATTATTTCTGCTTGGCCTGCATTGTATTCATTCAACAGATTTCCTCAGGGAGATCCAAAACAACTGAGTGAACGGTGGGAGCGCCTGAGGTCAGCAGAGACAGATTAATGATGAGATTAATTCATGAAGGCCTTAAGGAAACAGGGTGGTTGGTCAGAGGCTGAGGGGGGGAAAGTTATTCAAAGAGGATGGACAAGTGCCAAAAACATTTCAGCGTGGATAATGTCACCACTGGTGTGTCTTAAATGGTATTAAGAAATCATACGCCCGGTTGACAATGTGAATGAGCAAACACATTTAGCATATTCGTCATGTAGATGATCTCAAACACACAGGTAAATAATGGGTTCCTTTTTGAATAATTTTCAGCAGGTTGTTCTGTCAAGCACATTAACTGTTACTGTATAAAAATGTTTTCTGATATTTAAGAAAGAAGAAAAATAAAAAAAAGAGCATAGAATTGCTTTTTTGATGCCAAGAAGGTAGATTGGATTTTAGCAAACTGGCATTTTATAACTAGCACTTAACACAAGGTGTGTCTCATTTTGTAGGCTGCTTTATTCCAAGGATGCAGCCTACAAAAGGGCCAGACTTTGTATGCAGTGTAGATTCAGATAAAGACAATCTGAACTGAGACCGTCTGGACCACCTGCCCCCTCCCCTTACCCTGTTGTTTCCTTAACGGCAAACACTGAAATGTGTAAAAAAATTAGGGCTTGATGAACAATGTCGTCAGCTGGCCATGTGGTATGTCTCGCATGAGACATTAATAAGGAACTTTTGCTGTTGCTATAACTCCACAAGCTGGTCTTCTTTTTCATTAATCCTCTTGGCTCGGGGCACAGTTGTGTTTATGTTCGCTGGCATGTTTTAGAGACAGCCCGATCTGGAAATGTAAATATCAAATAGGGAAGGATCCGATTGGATCAGGAGCAGTAAAATAATTGTATTGACAACACACACTTGAGGATTATTTGGACAAATAATCAGTTGAGACAAGCCTCGCATCCAGCTGCGCTCCCTTGATTGTTTTGGGGGGCAAACCGTGCCTTAGATCGTCTAGTGTGAAGCCAGCCACACAACGCAAGTCTCAACCAGAGAAATGGCCCGACAGACCAAATACCACGGCTGAAACAATGTTGTTTTTAAACCACAGTGAATGTCGGTATGATGAGACAACACCAGCAGAGCCGAGTTCCAGAAAGTTTTTCCTTTAACAAAAAGCCACACCTGATTCCAGCAGACAGGTTTGACAGCATGCACCGTCTGTCAACAATCCCTGATGACTCCAGCAGAGACGTTAGAGAGTCATCGATGCAATTAAAAGACTATTTTTTTTTAAATAGCAGGCAAGTAAGTTCCAAATGAACCTTTCACTTTGTACTTAGGTTGACAACAGTTTTACTTTGATACTTTTCAAAACCACATGTTCAAAGAAGATACAATCTCTGTGATTTGAATGACTGATAGTAACTCTTCATATCTTTAACCAAAAGAAGCTGCAAGTGAACGAGAGAGAGAACACTGTCTAAAATTCACAAATTTACATTGGCAACATTTCAGCACCAAAATGTTGCCAACATGTCTGTGCAATTTAGACAGCAGGCCGGAGTTTGCCTGCAATTTTGTTTTGGTAATTCAAAATAAGACATTATCCCATATTGGCAAACAAGTCAGTTATGTTCATTGTTGTTAAGTGTTTTATGTCTGAAACCCTGTAATTGTGCTGCTGTCTGTCTTGGCCAGGACGCTCTTGTAAAATAAATTTTTAATCTCAATGAGACTTTTTCCTGGTTAAATAAAGGTTAAATAAATTTTAAAAAAAAAACACATGAGCAGGCTTATCTCAAAACCTCACCTTAAGAGATTAAACAAAGTTAAAATAAAATACAGTAAAAATAACAAAGTAAGAATATTTACTATCACAAATAAAATTTACCCAATTGAAAATTACAAAATTACATACAAACAACAATTTGTGTTGCTGTATGTATTGATATTGTTTGATTTTTACTAGTAGTTTAAAATTCTGGTATTGTGACAACCCTTCTGCTTTTATCTTGTTCAGGACTCGTTTTTACAGGGACATTTGCTCTGCTCTGAGTCCATGTAATCAGAATAACAACTGATTTTATGAGACAGTGTGGAGGCTGAATCTTTCTCTGAAGGACTCACAAACAGAACTTACAGCTTAGCAGGAAGAGGTGTCATGTTTTTACTACTTATCAGCTGTAAACACAGGTTACACATAAAAATCCTTCCTCTGTAAATCTGATGAATCATGACTCAACAAAACACACCTGTACGCACAGAGCCTGACAGAAAAGTCCCCTCGTTTTGACAAAAAGCAAAGAGTATTTACAGGAAAGCCAAGTCAGATCATAACACCACTTCTATGTCACCATATCTGCCAGAAGAAACACAACATTTATGATTCAGTGACACACACTGACACAATGACCCCAAAGTCAGGACTGAGGCAGAGAGTGATCCTGCAGACATCCTGCAGCAGAGCTAAACATCGCTCAGAAAAGCTGGGTGTCAATCACCCTGTGTGGTAGCGGGGATCCAGGATCGGACAGGAAGGAAGCACAGCTCTATGCCAAACTTCCTGACATCCACACAGTAGACACACAATAGACTGCAATCGCCGGGAGCTGACCCCGTGGGGACTGCGAGCGCCGACAACCTGCTGTGCTCATCTGAGCAGGAAAAATATGTTTTTTATCTCTGTGATGATGGGACGGCAAAACTGGACAAACCTGACTTACTTCTAGAAGCAATACCAACAGTTTAGCACCACAACTGCTTATTTATTTTCCTTCTAAGTAAGTATGGGGTTAACGCTTGAAAGTAAATTATATGGAAAATAACAGTCATTCAAAAATATATGCGATTTAAAAAAAAATTCAATGAGAAAAAATTAAACTTGAATACTTTTTTGCCCAGGTTGGAGTTAGACTCCTTGACTCTGTATTATCAGACCTGACTCAGACAGTTGATTCTATGAAAGTATAATGATACATGGATGGTGTTCAGGTAGCATAATTGAAGACTTCAAGCATTTCAAAATGTGCTCATTAAATCCTATATAAAGACATATCTTACTAAAGTCTCAAACAACCTGACATAGGGGTGAGGTCAGTACTGATCTGAGCAAAGGTCCATTTTACTGCCTGTGACTTTAACGTGTCATGTTATATTTCTTCCTTCATGAGTTACCTCGCGTCACTTCTGTGTTTTCTGAGGTGACTCAAGCTTGCAGACGTTACTCACTGATGGAAATATAAATGTCACCAACAACAACTTCTTTAAACAATTACATAGAAACCTGATTAATTCTACAAAGTTAGATGTTAGAGGTTTTTTTGTTTTTTTTGGTGGGCTGATATGGCTGGATGTCTCTCAGACTTAACATTAACAAAATACAACTATCTGCTATGTTGGGTTTTTTTTTACATAGAATTTAAAGCTCCTGCGAGGAGTTATAACAGGTTATAAAACTGTATGAAATCAACACAGATGGCTCTTTATGAGCAAAAAAAAAAAAAAGCAAACAAGACCACCAGGAAAGAGGCTGAAGATTCATATTTCATTATTTTTCATGCCTGAAACGACTGCGGGGGGGGGGGGGGTTGGGGGAGCATGAAGCAGAAAACACCTTCATATTTTTCAACAGCGAAGACAAGTGACATTTTAAGGTTAAAGAAAGCAGGATCAGATTATTCTGGGAAAAGATAGACACACAGCAGCTTTAAAAAAAAACAAAAAAACAATTGTTCCTTATTTGGGTAAGTGTAAACAAAAACAAAAAGAAGACCAGAAAGTCTTTTGTCAAAAATAGTAAAAAAAATAATAAAAATAAAGTGTTTGAATAAGCAATGAATGACTTGTGATTTGAAAGTCAACAAATTTATTCCTGACATTATTCTTCCTCTTTGGAGACTGTAAACTTAAACCTTCATCATGAGCCCGACTGTACATTGTATATTCTCTGTCTTCTTCTGGACCAAAAAGACCAAATGACTGAGCTAAAACGGAAGTGAGGAGACAACACCACACATTTACAGCTGCAGTACAGTAAGTGGATGAACAGAGGGGTAAAAGGAAGGTGTGTACAACACACAATCACACATACACCGACACACACACACAAACACAAACACACACACACACACACACACACACACACACACACACTGACTGAACACACCAGATTAAACATCATAGCTCACTAACACACACTGTAGAGCACCACCTGATCATGTGGACCCCTCCTGCAGATCACTGAGGTCTGGTGATCAGCAGCTGCAGATCTCAGCACCTCTCACACACACACACAAACACACACTCCTGATAACATGTGATGACCAAGCAGGCGCAGATGTGCGGTGCAGTCACACACACTCACTTTATGCAGGGCTTCAGCAGGCAGCTGAGACGCCTTCAGCAGCTCGGCCACTTTACTGGATGACAGTGTTCCTGAGGTGTCAGCTTGGCACAGGGCGTGCAGACCTGAGTAATACCTCTGCTCCTGCTCGTTCAGGGAGATGAAACTCCCTGCAGACGACACACCGGATTCCTGCTCCATTCCCCGGGTCTGAGCCTGCCAGGAGGACCTCGGCTCTTAACAGGACACAGATCGATGCATCCCGCTCCGCACGCCGGGGCTCCGGTTTCAAGTCGGAAGGCGGAGGTTTTTGGCAGCAGGAGGGCGGTATCACCTCCACCTCCGGTACGAGGGCTCCGTGTGAGGACTGCTCGCCTCAGGATCCTCCACTCCTACTGCCCCCTTTATGTGTGATTGTAGCAGAGCCGGCCGCAGCCTGCAGGGGGCGGTAGAGCACAGGAAGAAGAGGGAGGCTTTGTCTGAGAAATAAGGAGCTGCTTTGTCTTCCCAAACCAAAATGAAGACATGACTGAAAGATCTAGTGGACACTGGATTAAATCATGCAGATTGAACAAAATAAACGACAAATAAGTAAAACATTATAGCAGATCAAGTCATTTTTACTAGATTCTATAAATACATTCTGCTGCTAATAGTTCTATTAAGCTATTTAAGTGAGATTTCAACTGCATGGATATTTGTTCAGGAGTATTTTAGGATATTTAACCCTAATGTGCTACTACTTTTTATTTAGGGGGTTTTATGCTTTTATTTTAGAGACAGGACGGTGGATGGAGTTGGAAATCCGGGAAAGAGAGAGAGTGGGAAATGACATGAGGGAAAGGAGCCAGAGGTTGGATTTGAACCCGGGCTGACCGTTAGGAGGACTATAGCCTCAAGCTCTGTACATGGGGGGTGCCCAAACCACTGGGCAAAACGGTCTGGTTTCACATGTGCACAAAACGCTGTCGTCTGAGGATAAGAAACCTTCATGTGAGCGCACAAAGCTTCCTCATGAGCATTACTATATAGCCTAACTTTTGTGTGCGCACAAGAAATATTCTCATGAGCTTTACTTTTTCCGCTTCCAACAATCAGTGAAAGAAGCATTCAGATCTTTAACTTAAGTAAAAGTACCCAAACATTAAGATTGAAATACTCCACTATGAGAAAAAGTCATTCACAGCCTCACTTGAGAAACAGTAGAGTATTATTTGTGAGTATCAAAAGTTTAAAATGTCTGATGAATTATTATCCTGTATTAAATCTTTAGATTGTTTCTACTGATTCAACAGTGTTTATGTGATACAGTCTGAGACTGAGGGTCAAGGCCCTCCCACTCTTCAATAGACAGGCCTATGTCTCAGATAAAGCATTTGAAGTCGTCAAATGATAAAGTGGTACATACAATGCTGACTGTACCTGGGGTGCATGTGGCTCAGAGTGGGTCGTCTTTCAACCGGAAGGTCAGGTCAGGGGTTTGATCCCAAGCTCCTGCAGCCACATGTCCGATGTGTCCTTGGGTAAGACACTTAACCCTAAATTGCTCTTTCTGCTTCGGCAGTGGAGTGTGAATGTGTATGAATGGGTTTAGTCACTTCTGATGGTCACTTTACATATCAGCCTCTACCATCAGTGTGTGAATGTGTAGGAGTGACCTGCGGTGTAAAAGTGCTTTGAGTAGTCAGAAAAGTGCTATACAAGCTCAAGTCCATTTACCCTTTACCTAGGCTATATAAAAAGAGTATTTTTAATGCATGATTTTCTTGTGTGTGTGTGACTGCAAAACAACACAATAATCCACAAAAGGTTTAAAAATCAGTGTTTAAATCTTTTTTATTAAATGTATCTCATCATGTCAAATAAATGTAAGTGAGTAAAAATAGTCTTCCAGGATTTGTATAGGACTACATATACGTGTATACATTATAATATTACTTCACTGCTTTAACTAATAAAAGATGTCTGAATGAGTTTCCAAAGTGTCATCAATGATGATCTGAGACAGACCTGTTTGTTTATTTAGGGCAATGTAAAAACATTTAATGCTTTTTTTTTTTTTTTTTTTTCTTAAATCATGACTGACCTTAAAAACAAAAGCTTCATTCTTGCTTTCCTGAGTCCTGATGCCACTGTTAGGCCTCTGCTGCCCTCATCTGTTCAGGAAAATAACTGCAGTCTGTGTTAATGCAGCCAAACATGTTTATGTAAATGTGTGTTTTTTGCTGAGGCTCATCTGGAAGCAAAGCAGAGCAAAGCAGAAAACATCTGAAATGAACAGTTTATCCTTCAATTTTAATCACATACCAACATTTAGGAGGACGGTAAGAACAGAAAACAATAACGTTTAAAAAAAAAAGTAAGTTTACTTTAGATAAACACAAAGTAAGGCTCAAGCAGTTCTTTAAGGGGAGAGGTTTATCGGGTTATCCCAAATTGTACTTTAACAATAAATATTTTCATGATGATTCAGACTGGGTGTTGTCAGTTAAAACACTTATTATAAGAGCAAACGTGTTTTTATTGTAGGCCTAGTGGATTTATTTGAATTTGACATGATAGCTAAATTGTGTTATCAAAAGTGAGAAGTGGGGTACTCGGGGGGGTTGATGCCCCTCATGGTGCCCAATATGCCAAAAAATTAAGCAAAAGGACACTCATTGATTCCCCTGTAATACAAAACATGATAAAAGGCCCTCTGAGTCGCCCCTCCAATGGATAAAACATCATTAAATGCCGTCCTACTTAATAAAACATCATTAATGCCCCCCTCAAGTACCCTACAGGTGCCATTTTTATGTCTTTTGAAACCTGCCCTTCAGACAACCTGAGGACACCCCAGTAAGAGAGAGACTCAGAAACAAACAAACTTGAGATCAGATTTTTGCCTTGAGGTCACCTGCGGGTCAACTCAGTTTCTCATTCATGGTTGAACATTTAACCAAACTTCCAGTTTAACCGTCAGGAATAACATATGATTAACTGTAAATATAAAGCTCACCCAGGACAAACTTTCATATTTATTATATTTTCAACATTTCCTTTAATGCTAAAGAAGGTTTGGTTCGTTCTTGTTTTTATTGTTTACCACACATTGTAAAAGTAGGAGAGGTCGGGAGTGAGCACAGCACATCCTGTTATGAAAACTCAGATTAAAGGAGAAAAATAACTGCTTAGGTTGACATGTACTCGTGTCGGGTCGTTATGTTCGGAATTCAGTGCATATCTGCCTGCAAAGACTTCAAACTACTTGAGTATTAATGAGCAGATACAGTCAGATTTGTCCTTTTCCAGCCGATTTCATTTGAAACAATTTGTGTGTTTCTGTTTTTTTCTGTGCTTCATATTACTATTTGTGTTTTAGGTGCCTGTCCACCCTGACTAACTCACAATCTGTTCTGTGCAGAGTAAACAAAGCACAGCAGTCTGCCTCTCTCACATTAGCAGGTCTATCTATGAAGCTTGAACAAACACTTCCCCTGCCGCAGCCTCTTACCAGTCTGCATGTTTTACAGTGAGGGCGTGCTGCACACCATTTTTATGAAGAGGGGAGGTTAGATCAGGTGTGTCCAGGCTTAAATATTAAACTCTATCCAATGACTTTTCTCTGCTGAATGCTGAGATTTTCACTCTCTGAGCTTCTTCAACTTTTGAAGAACTTTTGTTTCTCGTTCTCTGGGAAGATGTTGGAGAAGATTTTAATCCTGCTCTGTTTGACCTCTGCTGCGGCAGGGCAGCTCTGTAAACCAGGTGAGTGACCAGAATTAGTATTTTTTTTAAAGTTTTGTTAATTATTCTTTGTTCTTTCTCCGTTGGCCTTCTGCTTAGACACTGTGAACACACAGAGTGGTTACTGTAAGGCCTTCAGCCTGCTCGTGTTTCTTTGTTTCCTCTTTCGTGTGGAATGCAGATTAATCTGAAGCAAAGTCGATTACACACATAACTTAAATGTTTGACTTAACTATGACCTCCATTTGACATCAACACATTCTCAAACACATGCTCTTTAAGCTGTTTGTCTTCCACCCAATCAGGTTAAAAATTAATTTTAGATTACCGTTTTTCTGAAAGGCTTTGGGTCTTTTCTCGACACATTGTTAAACTCATACCAGCAGAAAAACACAGCAGTTTACTCAAAATATACTGAATATTACCTAAAACCTTTAATTTACAAGACAAAATGAAGTGTTGTGTTCATTTATGTTCAACTTTGTGTGTATTTGTGTAAAAATACAGTTTGATTTAAACTTTTTATTTATTTTATTTATTTATTGCAAGACAACAGACAATACACTATAAAACAACAAGAGGCGAGTACAATGACTAAATAAATAGAAGGGAATAAAGGGGGAATATTCATGTTGTGTCCAACACTTATATTTCACATGTTAATAGAACAGAATGAGGGTTACTTACTGTCAGATGGATAGTGTCTCTGGAAGTACAGTCTTCATCTCCTTTACCAAAATGGTCTTCTCCTACATTTTTCACTTGATATCAAATCTCTGTCAGACTGTTACTGTTAAGAGAATTGATTCTTATGTGTCATGGTAATAACTCTTCAGGTTTTAGAAGACTGATTTTTCATATTCCTCTGTGTAATGAAAAAGAGCACAGAGACATAGGCCTACAAGAGATTATTCAGGGGGAAATACTTTCAAACCTAACAGTTCTACAGTGAAAAAACTATCCTGTACTCCTAAGAACATGTTTTGTGTTCACCATGAGGTTTCTATGTTCATGATGAAGCTTTGTGTGCTCACAAGAAGGTTTACTGCACTAAGAGGAAAACATTTTGTGTACATGAGAAAGTATTGTGTGCACATGTGAAACTTATGGAAGCATATTGAATTCAAATGAGAAAGTAAAAATCTGCTCTGTAGCACTTTTACATTTGCTTTAAATGTGAAGTGCATTATAAATAAAAATGTATGTTTCTGAATTAATGAGATAATTATCTCAGAATTATGAAATGTTTGCGATTCTCGGCACGTCGCTGGCGCCTCAGTTGCACACCATGGGGATCCAGTGTTTTCAGTAATTGTCTGATTGTCTCTTGAGTTACCATGTAGCCTGCCTGAATGTATTTCAGATGCATCATGTTATGTCAGTGAAGCATGTCTTATCGACACAGCTGATCCTCCTGACAGATCAGAGCGGGGTTTGCTTCTAAACGTGGAAAGTCAACAAACTTATAACAATATAATCTACAATATGTGACCCAAAGACACTAATATGTCCCCATGTTTCAAACCCAAACGAAATAAAACTGAATTAAACTCAAAAGTCAGGAATTTCGTACAGTAAGTGGTCTAAATGAGAGCTTCTGTTGGGAATTTGAGGAACATGTATCCCAGGATTTAAAAATGTATTCCTGAGATAATTATCTTGTTTATTAAAAAAACAACAACAAAAAAAAACAGAGCAGATCTTATTTTCTCATGTGAATGCATTACTCTTCAATAGAAATTGTCTGGCCTACAGAGATGTCAGAACACTTTCAAGCTTTTCCTTTCAGACAGAATGGCAGAAAACTTTCTGCACTTTAACACTTTCCAGTGATCGCGAGAACTTTTCTCTTGAGCCCAACAAAATATCTCAATACTCTTTGTGCTCGCGGGATAGATCTATAGAGCCCATGAGGTAGCTTTCCATGTGAATTTCAAACATATCTTTATTTCTGCCCATGTCCTGTTATGGTCTCTGTACAGTTCAATCAAAGTATAGAACAAACTTAAAATAAATACAACATTGTTCAGCACATCACTGTTGTTGAATGAAATGTATTGTTTCTCAGTGAATTAGAAATTAGCTTTATAATTAATCAATGCTGACTTAATGTCAATATTTACTGTAGTGTATTAGCAGTTTTTTTAGAAAAGGAAACTCTTTAACATGAGGTGTTTAACCTGTAGACGTAGACCTCGTGCTCTCACTTCATACACATCCCTGAGGGAGATTTAGTGAATGATATCCAGGGGCGATGCTAGAGTCTGTTGGGGCCCTCTGCAAAAATGAATCGGGGGGCCCTCCAACAAGCGCTCATCTCTATTATGTCCCACAATTCATGCGACCACTTTTTTTCCCTTCTCCTATAGACAGATCATTTTCCTTAATGTTTCTTTGTTGACTTTCATTGACAAACTTTGGTTTTCACAGCAATCATGCTGAGCAGGGCAACAAAAATGAGTGCTGTCAGCACTGCTGTGGTTTAAAGTTTGTGAACACTCAGGGGCCCCCCTAACTGGTCTGGGGCCCCAAGCAGTTGCCTGTCTTGCCTGTTGACAAGCAGCGCCTCTGATGATATCAACGTTACAGTTAACACTAAGAAAAGAAAGCTTACACTGCCAATAAAAAATAACCTACTATGGAAACTACATGTGTGTCCTCTAAACATTAACACACGGCAGTAATAAATAAAGTTACAGAGCAGGAAACCAACCTCCTTTCCCCGCTCTGTTTCGACACACCTGACAATAAAGTTTGCAAGTTTGCAGACTTCAGCAGACACACGATGAGAGTCATTTAATGACATGTGGGCAGCCTCTTAAAGATCTACTATTCTGCATGTCATGACTTCTACAGTGGAAGATTTTAAACGTGTTTTTTAAGTGAAAAATGAAGTAACGGTTCAAGTGGCAGACTGTGCTTCACATTTCATCATGATGAAACATTTGCTAACAAAGAATGAGAAATGCTTTTTTCATCGGAAAGAATTTCAAAAGGTTTCGATGAATTTCACACTCTGTTTTTGAAGATTTCAAGACTCATATTGAAGAATTCAGCCCGAGAAACTGAAACTGTTACTGAGCCGTGCGTCAGAATCTGTTTTTTTTCTCTTTGCAGATGCTTCAGATGGCTACAAAGTCCGACTCAGCATCAAAACAGCTCTGGGAGATCAGGCCGTGCGTGTTTCTTTAAATATTAATCTGCCTACTCAAAGCAATCAAAGCTTCTCATCATGACTAACAGTTTGAAGCCTTACTATGTTATGTGCTTTCTAACACTGTAACATATAATTCATAACCAGTGGATCATTTAAGCAGCCAAAGCTTTCCTTAGAAAGAGTAATATGATGAATTTAAAAACATAATTCTGTTAAAGTGTGATTTTTTACTACGAGGGCAAAGTCCATGTGGTGATCAGTTAACCTTAAAGGTCTCTCAGGCAGCACATGATCTTTCTGTTGTCGTTGTTGTTGCAGTACCTGTGGGATGAGAAGGAAATGTTTCTTTTCCGATCAACGATGGCCTACGCCATGAGGGGACAACTCAACCAGCAATTTGAGTAAGAAAACTTTCTGTACACGTTTAAAACAATAACAAAGGTAAAGAATATGATGGCCTATAAAACTGTTATATAATATCTTCTCACCACAATAAAAACCAGTGACTCATACTTAATGAACCTGTTGTTGAGACTAACGAGCTCTTTATTGTCCTGTGGAACTTCCCCAGTGTGTCCAACATCATCGTGTGTGAAGAGACTGCCAGAGTGTCCTTCTGGTTTGTGGTGACGTCTCCGCTCAACACATCCAACCTGGTAGATAAGAAAAGTGTGGAGGAGGCTGTCAGGTAATCGCTTCATACGCTGACACTTTATAACTCTATGCTCTCGGCAACAACCGAAAGAGGTCACATATCTCACTTATGTCAGATCCAATGCTCAGTGCAATCTTTGTTTTCGTCTGTTTGGTTTGGTGGTGATGACATCTCAGCAGTTCACACACATTGTTTGATATTTAGTTCTTTGAAGGTTGTGATGGATGTAACTTTCATTAAACACCTTTTTGTTCTTAAAGCTGTAATTTGAAACTTTTGATCTAGATGTGTCTCTTTAGAACTACCAGCCTCTCAGATCAACAAAAGTCCATCAGTGGACCATTATGACCGAGGTCAGCTGTTTGTAGGACTCATCTCCATTCTGATGTGAAGTCCACAGATGATTCAGCTCTTTTTTCTGTATTGTAGACCAAACAAAGTCTTCAGTTGGTTCTGTTAGTCTCCTTTTCTTTTCAGTTTGCTCTTGTCTTTGAGGGGCACTGGTGGCCTAGTGGTTAGTTTTTCACTAGTTGTCCTCTGTCCTATCTCCACATTAAAGGCACAAAAAGCCCCAAAATAAATCTTATTTAAAAAAAAAAAAAAGAAGCCCCAAAATAAATAAATAAAATAATCCTCAATTTGAGACCGCATTTCCAATGTGGCGTCGACATGAAACCTGTGCTTCAAAATTCAGTGGGTGACATCACTGAGAGTACGTCCATGTGGAAATATGGAAATTAGCCAAAGATGCTAAAGTTAGCCAATATGTACTGGTCATACTAACCAGGTGAAGGAAAGAACTTCAAATGATCATACAGATACATGTTAATCGTTTTGAATGGAAAGGTTTTTTTTAACACTGTTGAGATGGAATAGAGGAGACAGAGGGAGAGAGGCAGAGTGATGAAGTTGAATGAAGAATAATGAATGACTGTGGGAGTCTTTCTGCTTGAACTTACACTGAGATCCATTTGTCTCAGTCACGTCACTTTCCATTTTGGATGAGCTTGCTGAAGTCAAAGCTAACTTATCAAATATTTGATAGGGTATTTTTAAGATTCTTGATATATTTTTTCTGAACCATTTACAATACAGACACAGAAAACTAAAACTCAGCATTAAAAATGAAGTTAAATAAAAAGATAATGAAAACAAAAAGTCATAAAGATATCAAACTGACTAATGAAAAATCCAAAACTATTGTAACCATTCCCCTAAATTATGCAAACTAAGACCAGAGCCTGAAGGGTTTATATGTTATGAGTTGGATGAATAGATGTGGATAGAGGTGTGTGTATCTTGTCTTAATCAAACAACAGCTTCATATTTCCCCAAACCAACTTGCTGCCTGAAGCTAAACTTGGGCATGAAACTTGATTAGACAACACCGCTGATATCTGAAATCTGATATATGGCCCTCATTAAGCGTCATTAAAAGGATTAGACTCAGCCATTATCCCCCTGTAGTTGTTGAAACACAGCGGGGCGTTTTGGGGTCCCATTAATTAATCATGTGAAAAAGGAGAAGCCATATTTGTGCTTTTTGGTTAGGTCATCATGAATCATTTAGTTCTCCTGACTTGAATAATCACAGCTAGCCCACATTTGTAGCATTGAGAACATTTTGATCACTGAGGACTTATGAAACACACTCTTCAGTTTCAAACACTTACAGATTCATTAGAGGAGTAAAAGTTGCAGCAGTTGTTCGGCTGTCCTGAAATCAAATCAGTCTTAAAACAATTTGCTCAAAATGTTCATTATTTGTATGGAGAGGTCACATTTAATCAACATTTCTTTACTTTTCCAACAGAAAGCACAGGAACCGCATCAACAGTGCCTTTCTGCTAACAGATGAAACCCTGGAGTTTGAGGGCATCCCCCGGACCCTGGAAGCCCCCTTCACTCCTGACACCCCCCCATGGCTCATTGTGTTCGGGGTGGTCATGGGCGCTGTGGTCGCTGGCATCATTGTTTTCATCGGGTTCTCTGTGGTCCAAAAGAAACGGTGAGCAGATAATTGAAGATGCAAAACTTCTGCTGTTTAAAAAAAGTGATCTCTACGGTGGCCCTGAAGTTCAAAACACAGCAGAATTTAAGGACAACACAAAAACCTCTCACAAAACAAGAACATGATCATACTTTACACAAAGAAACGTACTAAATATTTCATGACACACAACATTTCAGAAAACAAAAAAACTTTTTTAAAAATGAAAACAAACATCTCACAGAACAAATTTACATTTTAATCACAGAAGAAGGAAATAAACCCGTCTTCTGCATTTCTTTTAAGCATTTTTCATCGGTAAGCGCCACCTAGTGTTGGGCTTCTTGCTTAAAAAAAGACAAATTTTGTGAAATGTCTTCAGTGTATTTGTTGTGTTGTCATGTAGCGTTTTGGAAATGTCATTGTGTTTATATGTAAATAGAAAATTCTGATTTTTTGACAATGTGATTATTTCTGAAAAGTGTGATGCATTTAGTGAGGTCGTTGTGTTTTTTAAAAGCTTCACTTTTTTTTACTCTTATGAATGTTTTTTTATCTAAATTGTTTTGTTTTTGTGTTTTTGAAATGTTAAACGTCCTTTTTGTTTGTTTGTTTGTTTTGACCTTGAAAGGCTACAGTAGATTATAGAGCTGTCTCCGACTTATTTGTTGCTTTTTATTCCAGCAAAAAGAACAAGAAAACCCCAGAGGACGAAGACAGTGAAGAAGAAGAGAGCCGAGGGAAAACGATGGAAAACGGAGCTGCCAACGAGGGCGTTTACAACATGTCGTTCACAGACGAGGAGCGGTTCACACGGATTTAAAAAGAAAACATCTTTTTAAAAAAACCCCAAAAAAAACACTTCCATATGAGAAACGAGATGTTGCAAAAGATTTTGAAGCTGCTCCTAGAATGCTGCACTGTAAAACAAATCGAAGTTGTAGTTTATAGTTAGTTTGTCATTGAAAAGATTTGATACATTTGATGATTTTTTTTTTTTACTTAACTTTCATCACCTTTCAGCCTCAAACAATAAGCACATGGTGAGATGGTTTTACACATAAACACATTTTCTGCATCAATTGATGATAATTAAAGATCTCTGCTATAGAGAATATCATGACAGCTTTGTGAGTCCTCTACAAAAAGGAATCTGATACTTCTCCATGCACGAGTTGAGATATTGTTTGTGCTTTTTGTGTTTATTTCAGGCCTGTGAGTGAAAAATAGAGTTTGCCCTGAAGAGCTGAATACATTATTTTGTCTTCTGTCTGTTCCTCATGTAGATGTCAGGCTGCACACTGGATGCTTTCTATATTTAACCTGCAATTTTTTTTATACCCAAATCTGATTGATTTAGAAGAGATCAGATCAAACACAGTGTCCCAGAGGTGATGTCTCCTGCTTCATGTTAGATCTCTGCTGCTGACATGATAGTTGGATTCCTCTTTCTTCTCCTAGACTGGAGTGGGAGGGAGTGGATGGGAAACCCCCTTAAGTCAGCTGGAGCTGCAGTTTCCCAGCTTTTTCCCCGGAATTAAAAGCTGCGTTTCAAAGAATGGGATTCATTTTCCAAATGAAAAGTGTTCTCTTAACTTATCAACACATCGATAGAGATTAAAGAGGAAACCCCTTTTACCGTACATGTCATATTCACTCGGTCACGCCATGGTCACACACTGAAGGCAGAGGATGCTCCTTAAAGTACTCCATTATAACCCATACACGGACTCACACACCTACTGTAGATTATTCGGTTTGAGATCAATACCATCAAACCCCAGCAGAGTCGGACCTGTTATACACAGTCCATGAGTCACATACTTCTGTCAATAGATATGATTCTCTCCTGGTGCATGCTGGAACAAGGACAGTCGTCCAATTAAAAGGCGTAATCGAGCTGTAACTCAACTGTGCATGTAAATGTGCTGACTGTTGCACATCACAATCAGGTTTAAGCAGAAATCTGAGGGTCAAACTTTGAATACTGTATATTTAGAGCATAGAAAAGGACCTGTTCCTAAACATCTGCCCAAATTAATTCATCTGAAAAATAAACGAATCAAACCATCTTTTGTCTGATGTCTAAGATCAATGTCCAGCTGCTCTGATGATGATTAAGGCAAAGCTGAAATGATTATGTCCACCTGTAGGTGGCACCGTTGTACCGTCATACTGAGTCTTTTTTCTTCTTCCTGGTCAGACGCTGCTGTCCTCCACTTCACACATCTCTGCTTTACTCTCTTTAAAGTGTGTTAGTGACAAACTGCCCTTTCAATGAAAGAGAATTTCAAACATATTTTAATTTCCTGTTTCCTATTTTTGGTCTTTCGTCTTTCACTTTGTGTCTATATTTAGTTCTTTGTTAAAGTAACTCTGTTCCTGATCTGCAGGTGAGGATGTCTTCTTGTAATTATTCGTTTGTTTCAGCAGCAGTCGAATGCATTAAGATAAAACAGTGTGGTGGTACATGCAACGTGGAAATGACTATTAATCTTCTGGCTCTTCATGAAATACCCCCCTCCTCTTCCTCTGCATTTCATGCTGTTGCCTGAGGAGTCCGCTCTATAAAATATTTTCTGTCAAATTCAGTTTGAAAGCATCACAATCTCATTAAGGAGGCGTTAGATTAAGACATAAATTGTCAGTGTGGAGGGTGAAAGAAAGTGCAGAAAGTCAAACACATTTGATCACATTATTTACTGGCATTAGTTTAATAACTCCTCTTGATACCTTCTCAAAAATAATGAGCTTTGAAATAGCCACAGAAACGAGTCATTGTGAGACGACAGCCTGCCTGGATAACACAACACAATCTTAAAAAGCATTGTTGTGCAGCTTCCTCTGTGTTCAGGGCTCGTCTCCAGAACAATGGCTGCACGTTCTACATCACATAATGGCTGCTGCCTAATTCTGTCTCTTTAAACGCGGGACATAAATAAGCCTTTGGAGATAATTCTAGACGAGCAATCACAACAGTGAATTAAAAATAATCGTCTTGTGTGGGTGAAATGAGAGGCAACATTGTAAGTCGGCAACAGTTTAATAACTGCAAATCAGATGCTTCATTTCCTGTGTGGATTCCAGTAAATAGACCCGTCCCACAGGAGAGTCCACTGTGTGGAGCAATGACCGCTACAGCAGGAGTTGATGTTTATCTACACATGGACATTATTTACTTTCACAACAGCACACACACGTCTCTGACAGTGACAGTCTAATCATCTCTAACTGTGTGCACATTGCATAGTGAGTAGGGGTGTCTCGATTCTTCACACACACCATTACATCCTCTTTACGCATATTTGTCTCAGCACTGATGTGTTTGAATAACATTTTGAATGTCATTCCGGAAATGACAACATTCAAGATTTGATCCTGCAGGCCATGAAAACAGCTTATTAAAATTGGATATCTAAATGAGGTCTTATAAATGAGGCATTTTCTGATTAAGACGTGGGATTTGATTTTTTTTTTTAAACTCAGGTTTTAGAAGCATTCTTTGGAAATTTGAATGATCTGCATCACATCCTCCATCCTGTTTACATTCAGCTCTTTATGCTGCGGAAAATAAACAACTAGCCCACAATGTTCAAGGTTGGAGTCACAGTAGATATGGCTGCACGTTAACAGGAATCTTGAAATGAATTAAATAGTAATTTCCATATCCTTTTTTTATACTGAGGAAAACATGTTTTTATGCATCTAGAACAGTTTTCACCAACTTCATTTCATACAGTGAATGCAAAGAACTCAATTATGTAAGAAGAATGGAGGAAAATAAAATAATTGCTTGATCTCTGTATTAGCTTGAGTTAAAAAATCAAAGAAATTCAACTTGGGCGAGACATTCCTGTGAAACTGTCTTAAAAGTCAGTCAGCCATGAAAATCTCCTGATCCTGAGACTCAACAATCTACCTTCTACAACCCACCATTAATACAAAAAGCACTTTACAGGTTGGTTGTCTTGTAGAAAGACCTGACAAATAATTTTTTTAAATAAACTTCTTTACAAATCTGCTTCATGTTGTTATTTCAGCGTTCTTTGGGTCCATTAAATGTTTTAGGTTGCAGCCAAGAGTCTCTTTTCAAACAGCCTTAGTAAACTGAAAGCAGCCAATGTCGGACTTGATAGATTTGGTGAAACTGAATACCAGTACATGGTACCCATCTGATAAAGGCTCAGAAAAGGTGAGTTGAGTCTTATCAAGCTAGCAGGTCTCTAAACTTAGCACTTCTCAGCCTCAAGTATCTGACATCGCGGTAATGATGAACTTTTGGTTTTGTTGGGTGAGGGGGGAGGAATCAGGAGTAGAGAGTGACATGCAGGAAAGGGTTAAACCCAGGCCACCCGCTTTGAGGGCTACAGCCTCTTTAGAAGGGACGCAGGACTAACAACAAGACCAATGAGTGCACAGTAACTAGACAAAAACCTCATCCTGCTTTATTATCACTCATAAAGAATCTGCTGTGGAAAATGTTAAAATACAAAATGTTAAAACTACATTTTTCTGTAGCAGGCTTTTTGTTGCCTCTTCTGACACCTAGCCCTCGAGTCTCAGGCATTGTATAGAACTACATAGAAATCTTTATGCTGATGGTGTTGTTGTTTTTTTTGGTAAACACATCTTACATATTGAGGCATTAATTAATTCATTAACTCATTAAAAGTTTGTTTCATAACCAGCTCAAAACTCCACACAGGATCTTTAAAGAAGGAGGCAGTGAGGAATCAGAGCTGTGTGAGTTTCCTCATGAGCAGTGAACCGTTTGCAAACACACCTGGACAAAACTTTTCCTGTGTTTTGGTCTGAGCACAATACTAGTTTATCAAATCTCACAGTGTGAAGGTAAAATGCTGCCATACTGCTGCCTTCAGGGAACAGGAGGATTTTCGGGGTTGTGCTGAACTTGTTTCTGTTGTTTCAATACATCTCCGACTCTGGCAGTGACCAGGGTGTCTCTGAAAGTGCACCTGCAGGCTAAAGCTACAGTAAGCTCAGATTAGCTTTCAGCCTGCAGCTTTTGTGTTTTGTGCCAAATGAATTAAACACTGACCCTACATTTTAATTACCATTCCTTTTCTGTAAAGAATCAGAATCGTGACACCCCCTAATAGTGAGTGGACTCTGCTGATGTGATGAAGACTACCTGCTGATAAGGTCGTCATGATACCAGAGTTTAAAACTTCAACTCGACTCTAGTAAAAATCAAACGATACCTGTTCAGATACAACAGCAATAAAAACATAAGTCCTAACCGATAAATTGGATAATTTCTTGTTCTTAATTGCACAAAAACATGCATGTTGCCCATGTTTTGTGACTTTAGACAGTGTGCAGGAGGAGGATTGATGGACTCATTCCTCTCCAGCGTACCTGTCCTTTAAAAAAGACGGATTAAAAAAAAAAAGCTTTGGTATTATAATGTACTATAGATCATTAAAATAACAGACTGTATTGTGTCACATGGTATCTAAGAGTATTGAAGTGTTGAACATTTAGACTTGCTGAGCTACAGAAAAGAAATGAAACACACTCGGACTCACAGACAGACTCTGTGAACACGTGGCAGTACTGTACTGTTTAAAACTCTCCCAATTCAGAAGTTTCATTCAAATTCCAGGGATTTCCAAAGAGCATGTCCATATTAAACTATCAATATTAAATATCACAATTCTGCTCAATATTTAATGAGGCCCATTTTCTAACAATGCAGCTTTCAGGGCTCGGAATCAATATTTAAAAAAAGTTAATTTTTCATAACTTTAAGCTTTGAAAGCTCCAGTGCATTATTAATGTCAGCTACATGAGCAGTGTGAAAAGTGACAGATCCATATGCATTTCTATAAAGACAGTGGAGGTGAAAACTATACACTGTGCACTGATGCCAACACAAATCTTCACTCTGCTGTCGAACTCCTGGATTTTTCCCCTGCAGGGGGGGGCCAAACAAGAAGATTTCTGTCAGAGTCTGTGTGTTTATCCACCCTGCTGTTTTGAAAATCCATCACTGTCAACAGCCCCGCTCCTCTCTCTAACTTTTCCCTTTATTGCAGACTAGAAATCCCATCTCTGTTGTTGTTTTTCATCGTCCTCCTTTTGTTTATGAGTCTCATCGTCAGGCGCCTCAGCAGTCCCTCCTCCCCCTGTCTCTCCCCCGTCTCCCTCCTTCTCTTTCTCTCTCTCTCGAATGATCTCCACCAGCCTCTGAAACTTCTGGTTTAACTCCTCCATCCCCCCCACCACTTTCCCCTCGTCCTTCTCCCCGTCGCTCTCCAGCGAGCTCAGTGACTCAGCGCGTGAGTCACGACCCTCGAACTCGTAAGTCTGCAGTGAGTCATATGGCGGCTGCGACAGGTCAAAGGTGACCTGGTCCAGACGGATGTTCAGGAGGTCTTCCATCCGGAGAGGCTGCGGGTTGGCCGCCTCTCCTCTCGCGCTCTCCGCCCCGCATGCCCAGCCCGTGTTGTTGCCAAACAGCCCCCCAGTTAAGGACAAAGGCTGCGAGGTCAGATCCTTCCCCTGGAGTTTGCACATGTTCAGTAGCTGCATCCCCGCCGGGAACAAGCCACCACTGCTCACCCCGTTGGAGCATGTTCCTCTGTTGTTGGGATTCAGCGAGCCCACGATGCTGTACGTGTCTCCTGGCAGGTAAACAGGAGGCTTTACACAACTCGTTTGACCTCCATTTGAATAATTTCGCTCAGAAACAGAGGGAATAGAAGAGTCAGTATCAATGTCATCCAAAGTGCAGCTGGTGGCTCCGGTGCTGATCTGGGTCTGCGATGACCCTGGCCGCCCCTCGTGCTGGTTTGACGAGGAGCTGGTGTGACTTTGGCATGAAGACTCATTTGGGTCACAGTGGGACAGATCTGCAGAGTCGCCGGCTGGTGTCGACTCTGTTTCTGTCGGTTTTATCTGTGAAAGAAAAAGAGAAAGACGGTTTCATTTGACTCGGACCGACATGCAGGGGTAAATAAATAAATAAATAAATATATGAGAGCAAAAACAGGACTAAATTATTTACATATAACTCCACTAAATGACTGTTGTATCATATTAAAAATCAAATAGCACTAAACGTTCCGCCTACGTGAATTGATTTGTGTGATTGAGGAAATGTCAAATTGTCAAACTGCACAAATGTTCTCATCCTGACATTTTATGTATCCTTGATCGGGAGCCCAGTAGTTGTATAATGGCTCCTTGGTTAGGTATGCTCCTTTTAATTTTGTTTTCTTATTTTTTTGCACACAGTTTTTTCGTAGCTGGTAACAGTCTCATCATCCAGTCATCATGAATGACTTTCAAATGCTGGCTTGTTTTGGTTACATTGGACATGCAACAGTTGCCAACATTTTGCAGAGAGGCTCTGCAGGAGAATTCATTTTGAATTGGCTTAATCTGAAGAGCAAGAAAAGTGAAAGAACACAGCAAGCTTTCATATTTTCCACAGTGCTGTTAAAGGGTCACATAGTATAAAATAATACTTTGTAAACCTTGTCTAATACTGTGTCTCTAGCCCGTCTTCAAACCCCCCAATTTTGAGAAAAGTCCATCCTCTCTGTCTTTTTCCTGCAGCTATTTTCAGAAAATGTGTGCTCAAACAGGCGGTAAGGAGATTTTCCTTATATGACATCACAAAGGGCAGTAACCCCTCCCCCAGGTGGGTGACGCTCCCACAGCTAGGTGTTTGTCTAGCTGTTGGGTGGGGTGTGTTCAGACACAGTTCATTTACATTTAAAGGTACAGACACAGAAACAGCCTGTTCTGAGCAGGGCTGAAATAGAGGGGTTTATAGACATGATCAAATACAGGATCAGAGTGGATTTAGAACAAGAAACTTCACACACATGTTTTGAGGAGATCTGAGAATTATTTTAAGGAGGAAAAAATGTGACCATTAAACTTCAAATTTTCTAGCGAGTTTGTGCACAAAGGGCGAGCAAACATCCACAGACTGCTGGAGGCTACGTATGAGATACAATTATGAAGAAACTGCCTGCTTATACTGGCCTACTAAGGATTTGAAAAGTAACTTGAACATTTCTCTATTAAAACTGGACACTCAAACTTCTATCAAACAGAGTGAACTTGTAAACTTTGACAGACTAGCTAACACCACCTCAAAACCCCATTGTTGTTCTCTGCCACATATATAAAGGTAAGTACTTTTTTTCATGTATTCTTGTTTTTGGATGGAGATGGTGTCACATTATTATTATTTTTTGGGTCTTCAGTTCATTTTTTTGCAGGATTTAGTTTGACTTTTGTTTGTTTGGTCCAATGACCATCAATGAAATCTATCAAAACATGTTGCTTCTTAAGTCATGAGTACTTGAGGTTTTAATATAAGAAACCACACTAAACACTTGCTAATATAACCCACATGTAATGGCCTTTATTTGCCTCCACATTAAAGTTTTTGGTTTTGAACTCTATTATCTGACCTTGGCCAGATCCTGCTGCTCTTTTGTGTCGGCTGTGTTCGCTTCACTGCCCTCCTGTCTGTCTGTGATTTTGCTCGTCGCCAGCATGTGCTCTGCTTTATAACAACCAGTGCTGATCTCGGGAGAGCGCAGCAGAGGATCAAAGGTGTTCTGGTTGGGGATCACCAGGGAGCTGCCGAGATGACCTCCATTGAGCCTGTGGGTCAGCTGCGTCAGCTGCACACCCGCCTCCAGAGGTCCGACTGGATAATCTCTGAGAACAGGCAGTGTGTGGAGGCCGTAACAAAGGCGGCCGTAGAGCGGAGCGGAGCCCGGCCGCTGCTGAGGGCTCAAGCTGGGGCGCGGGTTACGACTCCAGCTGTACGTCCTGGCCCTTGGAGGATTCTGCGGGGTGTACCATCTGTGCCAAGAGATAAACGTCAGAGAGACACACAGACTCGCACACACTCCCATTAGCCACATTCACAAGGATTGAAAATTTGTTGTTTATTTTTGGGAACAGCTCACATGTTCCTGTTGTTGTGCATGTGCTGCATTCTGTGCATGCTCTGCAGTGCCGTGATGTCAAAAGCTGAGGTGTCTGCTTCCCTTCCCCCCTCGTCATCATAGGATATGATGTTCTCCCTGACATCATCCTCCTCGAAGGGCGAGTGGGAGTCTCGCTTCTGATGGCGCAATGACAGCGAGAGTGCACACACCACTATAGGGCATGCGGGAGACACACAAGCACACACTCTTCAGCAATAAGGAGGAAACCTGACAAAACTAGTCACCATCTTTTAAAAAAAAAATCACAAACATCACATTAGTGGCGCTTCAGAGACTTCAGAGAAAGCGGCAAAACGTACCCAGCAAAGTTGTGACACACGCTAGCATCGCCAATAAGGTGACCAGACTGAAAATGAGAGATGCAGAGGAGGACGGCATGGGGAGGCAAACCATGTGTCTCTCCCATCGCCTGTCCCTCTGCGTCCCCCGGTCCTCTGTCTGCATGCCCCCCCGCAGACACGGGCAAATGGTCACAGTGACCGTGCCAGTGTTGGTCAGACCCGAGGCCCCGTCGCGAAGCACAACTGGCACATAGAGGGTGAGTAAGGATGAGGAGAAGCCAGGGAGGGGCTCCAAGGCTGACTGCAGAACCAGGCTGGCTGTCACACCTGATAACAAGAGAACAGAAACACACATCAAACACGGTCACTGCACAAACAGCCTGCACCACTTTTTTGGCTTCTGCCATGTTTCTGGATTGTGTGTGTGAAAGAGAAAAGCCGAGCCAGGCAGAGTGACCTCCAGATTCCCTAATGGAAAGGTTCAGGGCGGAGCTGGACTCTGGGGGGATGCTGAAGTGAACCGGGGTGTCTTGACCTCCTTGGTCCTTGTCGATGGCTCGCAGGACCTGAACTACCTGCACAACACACAACAGCAGAGAGTTATATGTATATAAAAATAAATGTTTTACTCTTTTTATTTTTTTTAAAGATTTATTTTTGGGCTTTTTGTGCCTTTAATTCAGAGATAGGACAGTGGATAGAGTTAGAAATCAGGGAGACAGAGAGTGGGAATTGACATGCGGGAAAGGAGCCGTTGAGGACTATAGTCTCCATATATGGGATGCGCACTCTAACCACTGCGCCACCAGCATCCCAATTTGACTAATTTCTTAACACTATCAAACTTGAGTGTCTAATTAAGGATTCACAAAACTATTATAAAACCCAGTTAAAAATGTTTTCTGCTCCGTGTTGACTGTGAAGGTGTGGCAAATGAAGTTTTGATTAACATCTTCCTTTTTTGGCATTGAAATTGTCCTTGTTTTAAATGTATATCTTCTATCTGTGCTTGATAAAGGTTATGAATTGGATTGAATTGGTGTATAGCAATGTACAACAATGGCAGAAGAGAAGTGTAGAGTAAACCGTATGTCATCTCATTCAGAATCCAAAAATCCTCTGAAAATTATTCACAAGAATTGGTCACTGAGTTCAAAGCTTTGAATACAATGCTGAATGCTGGCTCGATTGAGTAGCTAGTTCTATTACAAAAATAGAATAATGTAGAAAATACATCGGTACCTGCTTGCAATAACCTTACAGTCCAAAAATAGAATAATGTAGAAGGCACAAAACTTCCACATTTGACAATAATCTGTGTTCTGTAATCTCTGTTGACAGTTCATTAATTCAACAATTTCACAATACATTTCTAGCACAACCGTGCCAATTCAATGCCAATGTTGTAAAGTTTACATAAATCACTATTGGTTTTAATTTGTGTTAAAACTTGAACTTTTTAAAGGCTGCTTTTATGTACATAAGACATTTAATTACATTAATAGGTCGTACATTTGTTTGCCATTGGTTTTAATTTAAAAAAAAAATCCTCTAGATACTGTTCTTGGACCAGTCTTATTTCCATTTGGAGAACTAGCTTTGACTCCTTATTGTACATGTCCAGTATCATTCTCTATGCTGATGACACTGCTCTTCATTCTAGTGAAGAACCCATGCTGCTGCTCTAAATCTACAGCCTTCATTAAACTTTCTTCAAAAAAATCTTCATGACTTGAATCTGGTCCTCAACACAAAGACTGAATGTATGTTGTTTTCAGATATTTTTATTGATAAAACACACAATGACATTATTTAATCAAAACAGAAACTAGAACTGGGCTTTCTTTTTAAGAAATATATTTTTTATTTCTTTAGAGAATTACTAAATGCTAAGGCAGTTTTCCTTTCCCTGAGAGATTAAGAGGATGGGCAGACAGTAACACTCCATACTAAGAGTCATTTCTAGACATAGTTATTGGACACTGTTGTCTACTTTACCAAAAAGCTGGTTGGCCTGCTTTGTCAGCTTGGAGAGATCAGCACTTATATTTATTTATTTATGAAGCTCTTTAACAACCCCCCCCCCATCTTTCCATCGTGCTTTCATGAAATGTAGGTAACCATTCAACGTGTTCACAGTCATGCCTCACTTCACGAGAAGGTCCCCCCCACCGTGCCCCACATTCTTGGAGTTGGCTTCAGTGAAAAACATTAAGACCTCTTTAATACCACTGAGACAGTCCCAGTGTTCGTATTCTTTATTTATTATTTTATTTGACTTTTTAAAATTCCTTTAAATTTTTTCAAAATGACAAGTTTCCTTTGTTTTTGCCTTGTAATCTTTCTCTTGATCTGCCTGTTATCTTTTTCTATCACCTAACTTCTGTCATCTGTAACTAAACACTGTTTAAGGAGGACTCTCCTTATCTGTGTTTTTCTCTCAGGATTAAATAAACACAATTATGATGATGTGAAACACATAATTGTATTATATTTATTTATACCATAGTAAAAATCTTTTTATTTTAAAGTCCTATAATGCAGCAGCAAGGTGTAACATAAATGAGTACCTTCTTATAACACCGTCTACCTTCTATTTTATATCCAAACCCAAACTATCAGATCTTCTTCTGTCTTTTTGAGTTCCCAGTGTTTCACAAGATTCAAGAAATTCAAGATCTACTTGTTTTTTTCTTCTTTTAAATGCCATATATCATAGATCATATCTTATTGTTGGTTTGATCAAACGTTGTTGTTTATTTGGTTTGTAATATCATGATCTATCCTGATCTTGTTTTGTCAAACACTTTGGGCTTCATCTTTGCATCAAAGGAGTTAAATATATTATTATTATGATTATTTAAAAAAAATGAAAACGTACTGTTTAAATAAACTTCTGCACTTTCATGTGTGATCTCTGATATTTAGGTTATTTTCTCTCTTTATTGTAGTATTACCATATATATTCTCTGAGGTTTCCATACACCGTAAGCTATTTATCAAGGTCGAGGTTAATGTTATCCCTGAGGGGCAATTTGTTACCAACCAGCAGTGAGTAATACACACAAAGAGCAACACACTGCTGCTGCTGCATGTCCCCATTACCAGCGCCATAGGTTTCTCATTGGTTTCTACCATACTCTCACACAAGTGGGTTTATTATTTTTTCAATATTCTTGTGTGAAACAAAGAAATAGATGCATATATGAAAAAACCAGAAGCACCCTGAAGATAAAACAATAAAAAACCCAACAGACCTGACCGGGGGCACTGGAGTCACACACAGACGTTGTGTAGTCTCGGTCCAGCTCTGGTGCGTTGTCATTTTGGTCTATTGTCTCTATAGCAACCACAACCCTTGTCACAAGATTTGGATTGTCTGAAAAGAAAAGGAAACAGACATGAAACGTTCAAACTGTCTCTGAATTTCCATCATTTGTTATCCCTCACTTTTCACTTTTAACTCCAGGCCGTGCTTTAGGTGACAAATGACTCTTGCGAGCTCGGCTGCTCATCGTGCCTGGGGCCCAGAAGGGGCTACGTACCCCTCTGTGTGGCGATGACTGTGATATTATGCCACTGCTCCTGCTCACGGTCTAACTCCATCACCGTGCTGATAAAGCCTGTGTCAGAGGCGATGCGGAACAGAGCCTCAGGGTCTGACTGGGGATCGATGGAGTACCTGAGATACAGAAAAAGAAATGAGACAGAATGAAAAGACGAGGAAGGAGAAGGAGAAGGGAGGCCTCAGTGTGAGACTAAATGATTGAGTGGGGGGTGTAATAAACCACCTGATGTTGGTGCCTTGCCCCGTGTCTGGGTCTGTAGCAGAGACCCGGCCAACTGAGCAGACAGGGGGGCAGTTCTCCGACACGTCCAGATGGTACCGAGCCTGGGAGAATCGAGGCGGCTCATCAGCGTTAAGGACCATGACCCGGACTGTCGCCTGGTCTTTAAAGGGACCGTTCCTCAGGTAACGGGGATCTACTAAAGGGTTTGCAACCTCCACGGCAAAAGTGTACGAATTGCGTGTCTCATAATCCAGCAGCTGTTGGATAACAGAGAGAGAGCAGTTAAACCAGTAGTAGGAAAATAACAACCAACATTACATATCAAGATACTGGGTTCAAGATACAATGTTATTATGATTTGTTTCTTCTTATTGTTTCTTAAAAAAAGACATGAGATTGAAATCAATTTATGAATAAATATGATTCTATGACAATAAAAAATATGTCTTTGCATCATTCTTACCTATAAATATAAGTAATGCTAAATTTTGAGGTTGTATAGTTACTAATAAAACAGTAAATTTCTTTATGAAAAGCAACAAAGAAAATATTGTACAAAAACATTTTTTCTATGTTTGGTTTTAAATAAAATGATTTTAAAAATGGTAACAACAAGAGAACAGTAATCTAAAATTTTGTGAAATCCAAGAGACCCAATTAAATGTTAAGGCATCCTCTTCTTCAAAACCAGCCTACACAGTAAATTAAACCAACAGAAGATAACTAACATATCTCTTTTGTCTCTAAAATCAGTGTTCCCCAACGCTCATCTGCAAATACAGCTAGTCAGGAGGGGCTGGGTGCCGAGCTGTTAATACCATCAGCTCACCTTGTTGGTCGAGGCTTTGTGTGTCTTGGGTTGAGAATTGTTTGGGTTTTTACTGTCAAATTTTTGGGAGACAAATATTCTGTAGTAGTCATTAAAACTAATTAAAATAGGGGTGCAGTTTCAGCTTGTTAGAACAAGCGCACCAAAGTCAGACTCTGTATCTCTCGAATGCATTAGGTGCTGGTTAGACTCCATGCCTACCCAACTCTCTCCTTCCCATGTTTCCTGTCTCACTTCAGCTGTACTTTCAATAAAAGGCAAAAAAAATGTCCAAAAAAAATTGTGTCTGCTCCTGTGCAGACACAGGATGTCCAGTGAGGGGGCTACGAGCTGAGCTTCCAATAACATCTATATAATTGATTGTTGTCCAAAAATGTGCTCATCATTGGAGGGTAACAAGAGTTAACTTTAGCGTGTACCATTTGTGTTGGGTTCAACCTATTTTTTTCTCTCTTACAGAAAAACTCCCCTTCCTCTACCAGCTGCCAAAACAATGATTGCAGTGGAAGTGGGCGTGTACTCCTACATGTACTTCGATTGCAAGCAGAAAACTGCAGACTGTTTCTTTTTCTGCATGCCTGAAAGGCTGCTACATCCATCTGTGTAAATAAATAATATAAAGTTTTTCAGCATTATAGATGTACAGTAAATATGTTTATTGGGCCCATCATTAACATTTGATTGATTTAATTTCCCAGCCCTATAATAAGCCTCATATTTCACGTTTTATCTCACTGAATAAATCACACACAAGATCCCATTTGTGTGTTTTCCTTTTTATCCCCAAAATGTTTTGGTAATAAATCCTCAGCCTCTTCTTTTTCTCACCCTCCGCAACCATTTAATTTATTATTTCACTGAGCAATAATTATCTTTGAATGCCACAATGCTGTTAAACCCTTCAAGTTGAAAAGACAAACTCATGCTGGCTGCCTCTTACATGGCCTTCTCACATCAAATGACTTACAATTTTTCACCAGCCTCTCATTAGCTCATTGTTGCTCATTAATTGCTCGCGCAGAGCCTCGGGAGTTTGAACCTGTCAGCAGCAGAATGTGTTTCAGCGGGGCAACAAAGTGTTTTAAATGACCAAATCAAATCCATTTGCGAACTGAGACCAAAGCGAATTCCTTTCATTATGTGACCGTTAAAGTAAATCCATCTCCATGTAGCTGTCTTGAAAGCTTGTTGTTAATTTCCCCTCTCATCTCTCACCTTGTTGAGCACAATGACAGCCTCTTGGTCTCTGCTGGTTATGTTGAATGTTTCGGCCTCCTCGGCGTCCAGGATGGTAAACTCCAGCTGTGCATTTTCTCCCAGATCGGGATCAGCAGCGGTGAGTCGACCCACCTCCACACCTGGTGCTGCCAGCTCCGACACAGAGAATGACCATGCACCTGCAGAGAAGATAACAGGGAACATAATGGATCTGAGAGCGTGCTCTGAATGATGATGAGGTGCAGCGGCATGATGGTGTCTGGTACAATTTTGTGTCATTTTGTGGCTTTTATTCACGCATTTCAGGGCACAGTTTGAAGTAGTGTGTCTTAATTTATTGTATTATTTTGTTAGTCTATAACTAACATTCCTACTCATCATTGACTTGTATAAGAAGTGGATGTAGCCTCTTTATACTCCAGTGCCATGCCCAAGGCAGGAAGCTCAAACGCTGGTAAAATGATGGGGTGCCACTATAGTCCAGGTTGACTTAAAAGTAAAAAAATGTTATCATTTCATCACATCTCAGGTCTTTCTTTCAGATCTGTCTATATACCAAATTAAAGTTGAATTGTATTACACATCAGATAAAGAATGCTTATTCACAAGAGCTAACATAAGCCAAGCTAAATGTCAGCTGGTTTCATGACATCAGAAGAATTGTTACTGTTAGCAAGCTAACACAACTGTTAAGGTCTTTGCGCACCGAGTCTGTTTTTTTCATCTGAAATTGTCGCTATATATCCGTTAAAAATTAGTATGATCTCGTGTAGTATTAATGTTTGCATTCTGACTCCAAATGTTATTGGTCTTAAAACATGCTACTGAATCTGTGTATTTTGAAATGACTTTCCAGTTGCTGCAAATGTTTCTCCTCCTGCATTATGTTTTTGGGAAAAGGTTAAATTTTCTGCGATTTTCCGCATCTGTCCAAAACGTTAGGACGGGTGTTTGACTATTCAGAACTGTCCCTACCTCAAACATTCTGCCAGCCGCTGCTCAGGATCAATTGCTTTGCAGGAAATTTGTAGTCTTTATTTTCACGTGTGGTTCCAGTATAGCTAGCAGCGTATCAAACTGGACCACTTACATTCTGAAATACACCTGGAAGTGATCGGGATAATTCCACAGCTCTTATATCGACAGATTGAACTCTCATCGCTCTTGTCTTTTTTTCACGAGTGGATGGACCCAGTGTTTAACTTTTTCTTTTTTCAAGGAGTAAGAACCACTAAATATTCTTCACTAATTAAAGACAACTCATAGTTCCAATTAATAGAAAAATACTTGATGTGCAAGGTTCCTGTGCATAATGTTTTAATTGGATTGCAGATCCAAAAAAACAGGACTCAGTGTCCTTTAGCCTGATAACATTACCTTTAGCTAAGACCCATGTGACATTCTTAAACAGCAATTTTAGTTAGAAAGTCTTGAATGAAAATGAGCTTGTTCTCAAAAACAGATAACATTAGCATTAAATCATAATTAGCTGACAAAAACCAATAGCTATAAAGGCAATTGTACTCTGACAGCAGAGGAAGTAATGTTAGATAATAACGGTGAGCCAGCCAGCGTTATGGGCTACCTTGTGTACTTCGACACTCTGTCTGAGAAGTGGATGAAGGAAAAAATTCCCATAATCTTCCCAATCAAAAAGGACTAACTCAAGGTATCAAAACTGGATGTCAGAAGTAACGGGGTACAATGCGTCTTTGATTTCAGATTAAGTAACACTTAACCCTAACTTTAAACTTCATCTACAGTGTTTCTCTATTATTACTCAGTTTAGTGGTTTAATTATAAGTCTACATTTAATGAGTCAGTGATCCCAGTAATCATCCCATCTGTCCAAAATTCTACTGCATTAACAATTCCAAAATCCACAGTGGTCAGCCCATGTGACACCTTATTTAAGGGGTTAATAATAATAATAATAATAATAATAATAATAATAATAATGTATACTTTATTGATCCCGCGAGGGGAAATTCGTTTTTTTACACTCTGTCTAGTTGATATTTAGTCTTAATTCCTTTAACAAACTCTATATTTATCCTTGCCAAGCTGCAGTGTAGAGATAGTACAACAGCAATGTGACTCAAGCGACTGCAACTTTAATAGCTATACTCTTAATAGAAGCAGACTGCTAAATCCTCAGGTTTACCTAAACTTTAATATATTGTTGCACAGAATATAAATACTGTTAGGTTTATCCTCATCCCTTACACTGGCAATGTGGGAGGAAGGGGTCTCTCTCAGGTAAGGAGAGTTAGGAGAGGAGGAACATTTGCAGCAACAGGAAAGTGGTTTCAAAACACACAGATGCATTGGCATGTTTTAAGACCAAATGGATTTCATATTTTTGCTTTTTATTTACTGAGTCAGGTGCAGAATTAAGGGTTGCAACATAAATGTCTGTATTTTCGTTATCAAATTTAAAAAACACATTTTGTGTAATTGATATCTCTCAGTATTTTCTACACTATTTTCAGACCAAGTGACTGAGATTACAAGCAATCATGAGCTGCAGCCGTTCTACAGCCCAGCTCTCAGGATGGCACAAACAAATCCACAGAAGGGTTGCCAGCACAAATAAGACAAAAAAGAAACTGTGTAATTCTCAAAGCACTCGCAAAGGGTGAAAACAAACCCTTTATGGCTGCCAAGCCAATAGAGTCTCAGCGCTCCGGTGCTATTTGCATGTACTTAAATGAGGTAATATGCATGCATGTGACACAGAATTGGCCCTATTCAATGCAAACGAGCCTCATTGCACAGAAAGTCCAATTAACAAACACCAGCGCTAACAGCCACACGCAAATAGAGGGAAATGATTACGTCTTCAGAGAGTTTCTGCTAACTGAAGCATATTCAAAATTGGTGTCACATCCAGGTTTTCCGATGAATAGCGTAGCAGAGCGAACACATCATCATGCCAGGCGAGCTCCTGAGCTGATATCTAGAAGCCACTGACACTGTCCTGATGACTCTGTTCTTGGCAACTATTTAGACTTTGCCACCTTTATAATTATCATCAGGCACATAGCGAGGAAAATGGCACAAACATTGCTTCAAAGCTTAATGAGTGCATTTGAACGGTAATATCAACAGCCATTCTGAATCAGACCTTTAGACATGCGGAACAGCGACTGCATGTGATGCACTATTTCAGGTGCTACTATCATCCGTGATCTTTTGTTTCTAATCTCACCCCTTTGTCTATTTTCTAGATTAAGTGACTCAACTTTGTTACTCGGATTTACTGTGAAATGTGACAGTGTAATATAAGTTTTTATTCTTCTTATGTCTTGCATAACTTAAAAAATGTACATGTTACTTTGTTTTCAGGCAACTTCTTAGTCTTATTAATGATGGAATGAATCAAAATGCAAGCTGTTGTAAGAGGAAGCCCCAGTTTCTGTTTAATCTGCATATTAACCCTATTGTTTCACATAACATGCAGTAATTAGAGCTTTAAAGCTTTAAATTAGTTGATGTCGGTTTTTTTTAATTAAAACTTAGGCTTAGTCCACAAGTAGGTTATTGTTGAAAACTGAAGTTTTCCTCTGTTTCAAAAATAATCCCATCCACACACTCTCAGTTCTCATAAACATTTTCGTCCACATGAAAACGCAAAACACTGTTAAGGCTGTCATCAGCATGTCAAATAAACGACATCCTTGACATGCTAACCTTTTCTTGCCATTCCTCTGCAATCTCCATTTAATTTACAAAGTTGTCTGTTCAGGCGCCTCTGCTCGTCAACACAGTGGGAGAGTAACTGTGTATGTGTAAGCATATAAAAAGTCCAATTAGCAACATTAACACCAGCTGTAGTTTGGTTACGTATCTCACTAATCTCATGTAAACAAAAGTGACAGCGTCGCACAATGACGTCAAACGGAAGAGAAACCGCCGCACAGTGTGACATTACAAGCCCAAAACTCTGTTTTCATTACTTCACATAATATGTGATTTTTCACACTTAAATGTAACAAATCAAGTATATCCTCTGAAAATAACTCTGAGTTATGACTGTCTATAATGGGTGTAACACCCGAGTCCCACTGTCTGTGATGTTTTCAGAGTTTTCAGAGTCCTATCTTCAGTTTGTTTACATCGTCGGGACGGCCGGCTGACTCCTCCCCTCACGTATAAAAGTTGTTTAATTGAGGGACTAGAGAAAAGAAGAATAACATACTGTACTCACTGCTTAACTGTGTTTCTAGATCACGCTCATTTCAGGTAAATTTACATGCAGTGTGAAGATACGAGCATAATAAAGATCGCTAGCATTAGCATGCTAACACAACAATGCACCGCAAGTTGTTTTGGTTTCATGCTGGAGCTCAAGGGCGACATCTACTGGATCAAAAAATCGCATATAAAGCCTTTAACACCTTAAACAGAGTTTCTGAAACTCTTCACCCTGGAAGGAGTTTTCCAAAATGTGTGTTTTCAGTGTAAGAAAGGCAAAAACACACAGACAAACGTATAAAAATACGGGCATACGTGTGGACGTATGTTTAGTTGCAACTAAATCGAGAGCTTGGCTTCTTACTGAGTTTTTGTTTTCTGTTCTTATGTTACTGTTTGTTGTTGATTACATTCTGTCCATTTATCAAGCTTGGATTAGCAGTCGGTGATCTGTGCCAGATCGTGTGTTTTTTCCCCCTGCATGGTATCACATGATTCAACACTTGTGATGCTGTGTAGCAGCTGCAAATGCAGAGATATGATTTCATTTTAGAGCAACCCTTCTCTTCTGTTTGTTAATCATTGAAATCCTCCACATTATGAAGATCATTTAGAAACCACACCCCGAGCATTCAAAGAGCATGCTAAATGAGCCGTTTGTTCAAATCGCTGCGTTATTGTCAAACAGAAAATAATGAGCTGCAGTGAGGTGGAGATGGGGGGAAGATATAGTCAGATATTAGTAAATAAATAACACACAGATGGCATTTGGAATTATTAAATTGCCTCTATAAAGCCTTGTATCACAGCACAATATATCAAGGCGAGGAGAGGGGGCTTTAAACATTAAGATGAATGGCAGAAAACAGAGACTGCGAGAGAGAAGAAGAGGGGAAGAAAAAAAGAAAGAAAATCAAACAAGAGAGGTGGTATATAGAGAAATGCAGTATATGTCTCCCAGTGTTAGACACATCGTGCAGTGATTTTACTGTCTATTGAAGCGGAAAGCACTGAACTTTAAGATGAAATATTAATAGCAGGGTACAGGGAAAGGCTTGGACAAGAAAAGGCGGACATGATCTTTCACTCTTGTACATCAAGGCACAGTCCATTTCAATCAGAGGGACCGAGAGGGTGTGTTGGTATGGATGTAAATGGCAGTCATCCAGGCAGAGGTTATGTTATTCCCGCTGATATATAAAACAATGATTAGGTTTGGTGCATGAGTAAAAAGAGCAATATGAGAGTGACAAGCTGTTTAGCTGCTCTGAAGCTTTTATCTTATCTCCCAACCTGCCGAGGCAGCGAGAACCCACAGGAGGCAGAGAATCTCAGACTGCTGTCACAAATGCCATTACTAGATGTTTAATCATTTTAATCTTCAGTCACACACATTCTGCAGCGACAGAGACTGAAAGCGTCTGACAGTAAAATGTTGATGCGATAACAGGCGGTGCTTACTCCGTCTGAAGTGAGGGGGGTTGTCGTTGACATCAGTCAGCCTCACAGTGACGGTGGTGGTCCCTGATAATCCGCCCAGATGCCCCCCCATGTCTTTGGCCTGGAGGACGACCTGATACTCATCACGAGTCTCCCGGTCCATGTCAGGTACTGCTGTCCGCAGGATGCCTGGTGGGGGAGCACAGTGGGACAAGGCGCAAGAATCACAACTGCATCATATTTCAGAGTGACACAACGTCTCTGGAAATATCCGTCAAAGTGAGTCAGACGCTTACATTCTAGATTTAGGACGTGGAAAACATATGACTCAAGGCCTTCTTCTTTTTGTGAACTGATAATTTATAATGTGCGTTGTTCTTATGCTGTGCACTGGGGGAATTGTCTTTTGTAGATGCAATTTTAATTAATTCCTGACAATTCACCATATTCAGACAGCAGCTAGCTTTGTTTGAAATCACACTTCTGGTGAGAAGCTCAAATGTTAAAAGGATGTTGTATTACTTTAAATCAGCTTGTGTTGCATACATTTAGGGGTGACAAGCTGTTATCATTTCACAGTTTCTCCATTAATCAGAAAAAGACAACAAACAGTGAAAAACTTGATGTAAACCTACAGCCATATTTCAAGTTAAAACAGCAGATTCAATAACCTTTAAAGGCTTTATATGCAATTTTTCACACTTGAATGTAATGGAAATCAAGTATATCCTTTGAAAATAACTCCGTGAGTCATGACTGTCTACAATGGGTGTAACACCCGAGTCCCACTGTCTGTGATGCTTTCAGAGTTTTCTGAGTCCTATTTACAGTTTGTTTACATCGCCTGGACAGCCGGCTGACTCCTCCCCTCACATACAAAAGTTGTTTAATTGAGGGACTAGAAGAAGAATAACATACTGTACTCACTGCTTAACTGTGTTTCTACATCACACTCATTTCAGGTAAATGTACATGCAGTGTGAAGATACGAGCACAATAAAGATTGCTAGCATTAGCATGCTAACACACAACAACACGCTCAAGGGCGATATCTGCTGGATCAAAAAAACGCATATAAAGCCTTTAAGCATGGTCAGAAAACAGACAATGTTAACAAGTAGTTACTTCCTAACTTGGGATTGTTGACCATGAATTGGGGACTAATAACACAGTTTGGCAGCATTGGTCGATTATATAGGCTTAAATTCCTTGCTTACATAATGTTGTCTGGGACTTTGTTGAATGCCAACATTAACTGATGACTATCTGTGACTGATGAATTTCCAAAAATGTTATCTGTCCTTCGTAGCTCTTTAGACTTTCACTATCAATTGTTCTATAAATAGCTCGTTATTCAGGATGCGGTGAAATAAGAGCGATTGTCAAATATTTACCATTCATACAACCTGCACACTAAACTACAGCTTGAATTCTTATGATCAAAATGATTGTGCTTTCCACCAAGGCAGAGGAAAATGACCTCCATGTGAACATGAGGAATGGTCTGAGCATTCAAGAAACATCTCCCATTGATCGGTTTTATTTACTGGAGTAGTGCACAACATTTCTATTGCATGAGAATCATATGGATAAAGGGTTACCTTTGAAATGGAGGCATGCGTCAGCCATAGGGCTTGTTAAAACATTGGAGTTTGATTGCATAAGGCATAAAACCATAAAGTAATGGGTTTTTTTCAGCCAGTGACCATGGTATAAGCAGGATAATACCCTACCAGTTGTATATAAACAGGAAATAATAGCCTCAGTGGAAGGTGATGGTTGTGGCCACCATACAACCCATAAATTCCTGTTAATGGACACCTCGTAGTGCTTCATCCCTTACTTATCCACATTGGACATATGGAAGCAAAGGCATAACTTGTGATTTCACAGCAGGCCAATGGGATTTATTGTGTGGAGTATAATCATCAGAGGCGTTTTTATGGTAAACAGCTTTGAGACCTGTCTGCGGATCCACAGAGAAATAGTCCTGGCCCTGAGTGATGGCATACACCAGCCGGGCGCTGTTTCCATACGTGGGATCATCTGCGTCCCTGGCTGTGACCTGGATTATGGACGTGCCTGTGAAAGAGAGGAAGCAGCAGAGGTGAGAGGTGAAATGGCCCTTTTCAAAGTAAAGCAGTTAAAGCTGGTGGCAGTTTAATAAGCTTAAAGTGACACTCTACCCATCTGTCTTTTGAATACCAAGTGCTTACATCTGTAGGATTAAAAGGATAATGCACCCTTCTGCGTTCTATCTGTAAGCGCAGTATCTTTGAAACAGTTATCTTTTTGATGAAAAATGACTTCAAACACAGTTTTCATGTTGAGTATTTGCCCTCAAATCTCCACAGCTGTGCCAGAAGAAGTGTATTTAGTGCCAGTTTGGTGACAGTGTGGTTACTTGAAACATACTGAGCTCATGTCTGGATAGTAGGGAAGTGTTTGAGCCACATTATTAAAAGAGACTTTGGTTTAAATGGTCATATTTCAAACTTTTTGACATTTGTTAAATATGATATGTTGTTGGTCATGCAATTTTAAAATATTCAGAAAAAGTTGTTGTAAACCACTATTTGGCTGTTTATTGTGTGATGACTGCAATTATTGTAAAACTTCAAGTAAAGGCCAATCCCAATTTCAGACCTTTTATCAGCCTGCTGTTGCTGCAAGTTTTGATAAATGAAGGCAGTTCTCAATTAGAGGCCCCGGTGCACTTAATGTTGAAACAGCTTGCAGATCAAATATAAGGAGAAAGAGCAGACAAAAATGAAAAAGAACTTGTGCAGGACTTAGAGATGATTTAGCTTTAAACAGCTAGGCAGGGCCACAAAATGATCCTGCTTAGGGCCCCCAGATGTCCAGGGCCGGCCCTGGCTGTAAGACAGTCTACGTTCCAACCCTCAACTGTGGTCAGGATGTGACCGAAAGAATGAGACTGCAGATCCAAGGGGCTGAAATAAGTTTCCTCTGTCCGGTGTCTGGGCTCAGGATGAGAAGCTCGGAGTGGAGGCGCTACTCCTTTTCATCTAAAGGAGCCAGTTGTCCAAGCATATCCAACTTGAAGGAGACCCTGGGGAAGACCCAAAACACGCTAGAGGGATTATTCTGTAGATCCCGTTTGGCCTAGGGACACTACAGTATCCCCCAGGTGGAGATAGAAAATATCGCTAGGTAGAGCGATGTTGGAGGCAACTTGCTAGGCCTGCTGCCACCCCGACCTGGCCCGAGATAAGTGGAAGAAAATGGACGGATAGATGGATGGATTTTTTCTTGTGATAATAAAAAGTACATTTTCAGCTGTTTCCTGAAATTCGCCGTTGAGACTGACTTGCTTTCAAAGAGTATCATTTTTATTTAAGCAAGAAACAGAGTCACTGGTCACATCTGGCCAGGAGGATCATGAAGCCAATAATGATCTCTCGCGAACATACAGAGACAATTGCCTATATGCACCCAAAACATCTGCTTTTCGTCATGGGTCATAAAAAACATCATGTAACACATCCATATTTGGCAATTCTCTTACACAACACCATAAGGTAAACATTCAACTTGAGGGGACTCCTAAATCTCCTTCAGATACAAATTCTCTCCAGATGTATATGTTATAAACTTAAAGGAGCAGTATATTCTCTCTGTCCTAGATCCTTCAATCTCAACATATTCATGTCATTATCTCCTTGCAATGTTGGTTTTCAAGTTACAACGGCTTTATTTCAGCTGTTTCCTTGAGATCTCTCTAGAAATGTACTTATAACTACAGGAAATCAAGGTTATTGTCCCAAGATAAAAAGATAAAAAAAGTTGAGAACAATTTTGGTTGTCTTTGCTGTCAACCAAAACTGACAGCTAAGACATTCTGGTACAGTATGTTTCCATAAGCCAGCCCAGAACTTGTTACTGATTATATTAACCGTGGTCTTTCTTTCTCCCCTAAAGTGCAGCAGGTAGGCAGAGATGTCGATATCCTAATTTTGTATAAAATATTCTCTTTCCCATCTTTGCTGTGCACCAGTTTTGTGAGACAACATTTAAAGACCTGTCTTGTATTGTCACTGTCACAAATAAATGCAGGGTCGTTTTATAGACTGAAGTAAATATAAGCCAGGGCCACTAATAGAGCTTTCTCCTGCTTAGTCACTTTCTGTGTAGTCACATCCTTGGTCTGCAGAAAAGAACTGACATGCTCAGGAAAAAATCCATTGCCATTTATTCACTATGAATCATTGTGCAGGGCAGGAAGTGCAGATAGTCTTTATTACTTAAAGTATTAGATATACAGCTCTGGAAAAAATTAAGAGACCACTGCAATTTTTTCTGAAATCAGCATCTCTACATGTATGAAAGCCATTCCATTCCAGTGTCTGTTGAATTCCAACACAAGCACACCTCATTCTACTTAATGAGGTACTGTTTAGGTGATCACCTGATTCCAAATTTTATTAAAAGAGGAAAAGTATAAAGACCACTGCTGTGGTCATCACTATCCTCTTGCAATAGGACCAGCGGGATGGCAAAAACAATGCTAGTAGTACCTCAAAAGTAATTGGAGTAAAGAGTTAAAAATAAAAGTTTTGAGTGAGGAAAAGAAGGGTTCAATTATGGTTTTACTGGCAGAGGGTTACAGTGAGCATCAGCTTGCTTCCATCCTTAAAATTTCCAAGACGGTTGTTCATAAGAACAAGGTCAAGCAGCAGACATTGGGGACAACAAAGCTACAGACCGGCATAGGGCGAAAACGACTCTCCACTGAACGGAATGACCGTCAACTCATTTGAATGTCACTCAGAAACAGTAGGATGACATCAAGTGACCTACAAAAAAAAAGCCAAATGGCAGCTGGGGTGAGGTGCATGGTGAGAACGTTTAGAAACAGGCTCCTAGGGGCAAGGCTCAAATCGTGTAAAGCTAGAAAAAAGCCCTTCATCAATGAGAAGCAAAGAAGAGCCAGGCTGAGGTTTGGCAAAAGACCATAAAGATTGGACCACAGAGGACTGGAGTAAGGTCATCTTCTCTGATGAGTCCAATTTTCAGCTTTGCCCAACACCTGGTTGTGTAATGGTTAGACGGAGACCTGGAAAGGCCTACAAGCCACAGGGTATCGCACCCACTGTGAAATTTGGTGGAGGATCGGTGACGGTCTGGGATTGCTTCAGCAGGGCTGGAATCGGGCAGATTCGTCTTGGCGTAGGGCGCATGAATCAAGCCACGTACAAGGTTGTCCTGAAAGAAAACTTGCTTCCTTCCTTCTGCTCTGACAATGTTCCCCAACTCTGAGGATTGTTTTTTTCCAGCAGGACAATGTTCCATGCCCAACAGCTAAGTCAATCAAGGTGTGGATGAAGTACCACCAGATCAAGACCCTGTCATGGCCAGCCCAATCTCCAGACCTGAACCCCATTGAAAACCTCTGGGATGTGATCAAGAGGAAGATGGATGGTCACAAGCCATCAAACAAAGCTGAGCTGCTTGAATTTTTGCGCCAGGAGGGGCATAAAGTCACCCAACAGCAATTTGAAAGACTGCTGCAGAGCATGCCAATACGCATGAAAGCTGTGATTGAAAATCAGGGTTATTCCACCAAATATTGATTTCTGAACTCTTCCAAAGTTAAAACATTAGTAGTGTGTTGTGTATAAATGAATATGAACTTGTTTTCTTGGCATTATTTAAGGTCTGAAAACACTGCATCTTTTTTGTTGTTTTGACCATTTGGCATTTTCTGCAAATAAATGTTCTAAATGACAATATTTTTATTTGGAATTTGGGAGAAATGTTGTCAGTAGTTGATAGAATAAAACAAAACTGTTAATTTTACTCAAACACATACCTACAAATAGTAAAATTAGAGAAACAGATAATTTTGCAGTGGTCTCTTAATTTTTTCCAGAGCTGTATATCACTAAGGATTTCATTAAAAAAAAGGTGTAGGATAAGATAAGTACAATTATGCTTCATTAAGAACATAGATTTTTGTTTTCAATATTTAGTTTTTAACCAGATTGTTAATTGTAAAGTAAGACGGTTAATGATAAACCAAACTAACACTTTGTTGTTATTGGGTCAATCTTAACTTGGTGTTGAGTGAGATATGGAACAACTGCAAAAGATTACATGATATCATATTTTATTATAGAGTTTAGTTTTATATCTACCTCAGGTAGGATGAAAAGTTTATGTTGAGTTATAGCACAGTATTTCAGTTGATGCTTATTTTCATTATAAATATGTCAAATTTGGACTTACTTAGGCTGGTTGCTTGCTACGTTTGGGTCCAATTTTAATGTCTTGGCCATGTATTAGTCAGTTATTCAACCACATTGGTTAAGACTTAAATGTCTCGAAGAGGACTTTCATGCTTTGTACAGACATCTATGGTTCCCAGAGAGCGTATCCCAATGACTTCTGTGATCCCCTGACTTTCCCCATAGTCCCAAAATGACATTTTCCCATAAGATTTGATGTTAACTATGGATGGATTCCCATGACATTTGGTGCACACAAATGGTTAATGGACCAAAGACAGACTAGCTGAAGTGCCACATTGGGTGTTTGGTTACAGGGACAGATACACTATGAAACATCCATGTTTTAAAAAAAGAAAAGCCTCATTCAATAAAACAAAAGTCTAGCACAGGACATCAGGGCTTTGGCCAAATGGATATATCAGCTGGGATATTTTTGTCTTTACATAAAGTTGACGCAATTGTCAATGGAACCTTTCGTTAACTGAACTGATAACAACCTAGATGGACATTGGAAGAATTTTACATGCGAGAGTAAACTTTCAAAATGTTGAACTCTTAGTTTTGATAATGGCATACTTAGTACTTGGCATCAACTTAAAAGAGAATAAACCCCATTGTAAACTATTTTCTTGCACAAGGATTTCACGGAGGTACAAAAACTGTATATGTTGGTTGCGATGTGTAAATCTTGAATTTATTTTCAACCAAACAAGTAAAAAAGTTCAGGGTCGATACGCAATCCCCAGATCCATCCATCTTTCAATTTAACACCATAATTAGGTTAAAACTTATATTGGCTCAGTAGTTTTAGTTGCTACCATATGTTTAGTG